GGTCTGAGTCCTAAGTGCTCGCTGGACCTCTGACTCATTTGGCGCGAGCGAGCGCAGTCTCGGCTCGATCAGCTTCCAGTCTCAATTCATGCTGGTTTTCTGACTCGTTTCCGCGAGCGAGTGCAGTCTGAGCTCGATCAGCTTCCAGTCTCAATTCATGCTGGTTTTCTGACTCGTTTTCGCGAGCGAGTGCAGTCTGAGCTCGATCAGCTTCCAGTCTCAATCCATGCTGGTTTTCTGACTCGTTTTTCGCGAGAGAGTGCAGTCTGAGCCCGATCAGCTTCCAGTCTCAATTCATTGTCTTCACAAGCCTTAGGGCATCTTCACCCCACACCCCTGAAGTGTCGATGACAGAGGGAACAAGGCAGTACTCGCCAAGCAGAGATGCGTACTTGGTCTTCTTGTCCAACTCCCCTCGTTCCACCACAGCTTTAGCTTGGCGGGAGATCCGACTATAGCATGGCGCAAAAGCGTCACGAATCGTGACATCCCAGATTAGCCGTTGGCCGCGGGACCATGGCTCATGCGTGACTCCGTCGGGACGAAGCTGGTCGTTCGGCGACAAGTTTCGCGGTTCCTTTGAGTTAGGGATTCCCGCCTGGCATAGCGCTCGCGACATCATTTCAACAGGTCATTTATGGCTCCATGTCGGGTCAGTCGACCAGACGCCAGCGCCCTGCAGCTGAGACGATGCAAGCCGGTGCGATCGACAGTCGCCCCGCACGGGCATGAGTCTTGCGGGACCAGAGGGAGCCCGAGCCGGAGGCCAGCAGCCAGGATGAACTCCTTGTCGGTTAATAGGGTGCCGACGTTCTTCGATGGTAGGGCCTGTAGCCACCAGCCGGTCTCGGGAAGCGACGCATGAGAGAGTCTTATGGCATCCGTCTCCGAGGACGCGGAGCGAGAGCATAGACTAGACAGTGTGTGCTCGTTGGCGATTCCGGCCCACTCGGACTGTCGATGGCGGTCTTCCTCCGGTGGTGCAGCACCATAGCGTGTGGCGAAGGCCTCCACAGCAGAATCCATAAGATGAATATTCTTCGAGGCGTCCCCCAGAATATCCCGGACCTCGGGCAGTGCCGCATGACACGACGCAGCGAACGCCAATGTTGCAACTGCGGTGGGCATAGGAATACCCATACCGCCGGTTGAAGTCGGGAGGCTGAGCTGAGTGAGGGCATCCCCAGTAAGGGAAGTTTAAAGGATGGCCTCAAACGCCGCTGCGAATTGATTGTCGATACGCGCAAGTTCCTCGTGAACTGAAAAGGCTGGGCTGGCCCGCAGCAGGTAGTTCAGCCTGGGAACTCCCGCTGCCCGCTGCAGAATGTACATTGCTACGCGGCTGCCTACAAACGTGAGTCTACGAAAAATGAGATCATACGCTTCTGCCTTCTTCTGCAGCGCCGGCGGTACGCCTGCCACGAAGACCGGGGCACCCAGTAGCTCCAGCTCCGACTGCTCAGTTATAAGCCGACATCCCGGAAGGGACTCCAAGACGCGGCTACGCATGCGAGCTGTGACTTCAGACGGGAAGCCCTGGACGAAGACTCCACATTTGGTAGGCTGAATATCGAGTCAATGGGAGCCGTAGCTGTCCCTTATGCGCTGCACATCTTCGAGAATGACCTGGGGATCTTTGCTGAGGAGAGTGAAGTCATCCAGGTAGCCTAAGACAACCTCACTACGGAGGGATTCCAGAGTCGGGTGAACCACCAACGAGAAAATGTAGACTCGAGAACACGTCACCTTGCTGAATACCAGTGCGCGACTGGATCAAAGTGTCGCCAAACGATATCGGAGTTGGTTGCCGGTAGGCCTGCGAGACCATAGGATAGATCTCGGGGAACTTCTGGTGGACCGCTCTCAGCATCGTATCCCGTCGGTGGCTGTTGAATGCATTCTTGAAGTCAATCTTCAAGGCCATTGCGCTACCGTTTTCCGCCAAATAGGTGCGCGTCGAGTGGACTGCGATCTCTGCCCCTCCAGCGGTCGCAAAACCCAGCTGGCGAGGGCGTAGGTAAGCAGCGGCCCCTCCCCTGACTCTCGACAGAAGAATCTTGGCCGTGAGTCGTCTGAGGGTGCTGCCCACTGCAATGGGCCGCAGGCCACCGGTAGGCTTCGAAGCTGCCACGAGCCACGTTCCATAGACCATGTCCCGTGCATCATCCGGAACTCGTCCGCGCGCGATAAGGTCGCACACTCTGGCCAGATTTTCGAGAAGGAGGCGGCGAAGCTCTCCACCCACAGATACAAGGTCCAGAAGATGCTGTGCCGTGGGGCCGTCGAGGCCGCCAGAGCTGCCGCGGGGGAAGCTTCTGAGCGCATCTACAACCTCATCCAGAGAGCATTGCCGTGGCGGCCGGACTCCCGGCAGCTCCGGGGGTACGTCGTCGGGCTGAGGAGCCGGGTGTTTGCGTATCATTTCCTGAGCGACATCATCTCGATTGGAGGACACGAGGGTCTCACGTGAAGCAAGGAGGATAGATAGATAGATAGATGTATACATCCATGCTTGTCTCTATCAGTGTTGCATGATTTGTATTGAAGGCTATTCGGAAAAAACGGATCTCACAGATGACACTCCTCGCTTCGAGACCCGCCACTGTATTCGGGTGGGTACATTCCCAACTGATGAATGAAAAGTCGATGCTCATGTTCAAGGCGATTTATTGATCGAAACCGGTATTCACAGTTGGATACGGAGTTGCAGGTTACTAACCTGTGACCTCGATGATCACGAGCTCACCTCGACAATACCGATTCTTGGATCTCCAATTCATGAGAATCCAGCTGGTCATTCAAGTCGGATCCTAGAATATCTCAACCTCTTATTGCCCCCTTCCCCTTTCAGCCCATTGAAGCTAGGCTAACCCAGGTGGGAGAGTTCTCGTGCGAAATAAGCTATCCCCCATTTAAGTATCCTAAAAGTTACCAACAATCACTCTTCAAGTGAGTTTGTCAGGAGCGTTATCCACGCATGGTTTCACTCGGACGCACACGGCATCCCGATATGCCAGAGTCCGTTGACTGCTGTAATATCAAGCTGGTTGGGTTAAATCAGCTGGAGAGCGCGATCGAGGAGAGCGTTTCGGGAGTTGTGTTTCACAAAGAAAGACAGACTTTGCCAAAGAATCCATCTCGGGGATCCGGTCCGCAGGCCAATCCATCGGCCGACTCGATTCAATCATTTCGATTTTCTAGTTGTGCTTGAATACGCAGAGTCAGATAGTCGGAGACATCTTCAAAAACAGCGAGGAGATTCTATGGCAAAGCTCGGGGAGAATGAAAACCGAACCAGGTGATACACTTCCGGGCTTCAGCTGGACGCGGACCTAATTCAGGGGGGGTGGGCTTGTGTATTACCAACTCAAGTTTTTCTTATAATCAGTGTCCATGAGGAATCACGTCCAGTTGGCTCGCGGTAAGTGTCTCACCTTGATTCGTTCTATGGCGCACGGGGAGGTGACTGGGGATATCAGTTGGAACGATCGGATACCAAGGAGTCCTGACAAAACCTGACTATGCTCGACGCCTCGCCTCTCCATCAGGTGCCCTGCAAAGCGAAAGTTGTGAGAGTACTTTGTACAACAGCGACGCAAATAAATAGACCGACGGGTAAACTTGCCCGAATGTATCTCACTGTTCAGATTTATTCTCGCAGAGTAGACTCGTTTGTCTTGGAATAATTTTTTTTCAATCAATGTCATCAACCTCATCATTGCTTCTATAACATTTTTTTTGTCGTCACTGCAGATGTACTGAGTGCGTTTTTTTTTCTTGAATTTTCTGTTGATCCCTCAGTAACTTTCCACTGGGTGAGTGAGCCTCCGGTCGGCCCTCCTCATTGCTAGTTAACTTTCACAATTTGGCGGCGAACGTTGGAACAGCAGAGGGCTGACTCTTTTTGGTGATTTTTCAACTCCTAAATGACTTTGTTCTTCGCACTATCTGCGATTGTTCCACAAGGTCTATAACGGACCCCAATGCATCAATCGATCTCAACCACGCCAAAATGATGGAGGATGTCGTCGTACGGGCGATGCAGATGGGGATCGCGTAAAAATATTTACAGAATATAACAGTATAAGTCTCTTCATATCATCATATACATAAATTACCGACCGAGTCAACGGGAAGCGACGGAGCCAAGTGATGGTTGGCAGCGTTGACTTGGTGCACGGCTCTATACTCTGGCACGAGCAATGCTGGTGGTCTGTCTTCTTCTACAAGCTTGCCCGGGCAGGCCTGGAACCACCGCACGGTCGCGCCTTCAATCGATTCAAAATCGTAGTCCTCCTTTCGCGTGAGACTTCGGTCCTGAGGGAATGGAGCTGCTTGAATATAAGGTCTCCGCGAGAACACGGGGGTGAAGGGACGAAAAATAAGAGCGACGGAAGGGAACAGTATAGGAGGGAACGGTTAGAGGAACATTATTCGGGCGATATTATCGACTCACGGTAAGACAGGGAAAACACATCACATCCTCCACGAAGTCAGGTTTCGCGTTTGAAGGGACCTATATCCTCCACCTTGCTCGAAGTATTCATGTATTTGACGTAATAGGCCACAGCTTTTCTTAGCGATTCGGCCTCGGTGAGATTGTCCCGGTATTCTTCCTGGAGATTCTTGTAGTCAGCGAATAGGTCGCGGAGACCTTCTCGGAGCTCCTCGATGTATTCATTCCTTCTTTCGCGATTTTCGCGAGCCGCCAATGCGTGTTTCGTCATATTGGCCGTGACGGACTTCTTCTTACGACCCGCTTTCGATTTCGGCATCTTCGCCAGAAGCCGATCGTATTTGTTGAGGCCGTGGATGTCGTACAGATCGGCCTGGCGTTCGGAGCGACTCTTGAGAGCACGCCGAGGTGGCGGTCTCCTACCGACTCTTCGGGGCCAGTGGGGCTCTGGGGCTTGCGGAACTTCGCGTTCCACTACGGTATCCATCGGCACTACCTCGGAGGCCAGCTCGACCTTGATTTCGTGCGGCTCTCCGTCGACGTTGTCCGGGAACAGACTTCCGTGTGGGACAAAAGCTGACTCAAGTCCTTGCCCAGCTGGAGCGGCTGTCTCGACTTCATGTATCCTGTCATCAAATAACTGGTATGGAGGTATCTCGAGGTCTTCGAAGCTGAACGGCGCGGACAGCACGTCGTCGAACATGTCGAGAGGTGGCAGCGACCCTTCTGATTCCTCGATGAAAGCTTGATTGGATTCCTGCACAAAATCCGGTATGTCCGTCGTGGTCGGCACAGAGGCTGAGAAGTTACGGTTGTTTAAACACTGCATTCCGGATATTCGCTTGGAGCTCCCTCTCGATACAGCGAGAAACGTTATCGAGGGTAGGCCGCTGTTTTCTGCTGCTTTTTGAAAAATTCTTGCGAACTTAAACAAAAAGCAATCGTTGACTCCGACAACTCACTCTGTTCGATGTGATCGAATTCCGTATTCCTAGTCTGGACGTCACTCGGAAACTTGAATACTTAACACTGACGAGCTGACCGCTGCATCACGTTCGCGACGAGTCAGGGCAATCTCACTCAGACGAGCACCGCTGTCTCTTGGCGCTAGTGTCGCTTTCACCGCTAAACACAGCCGAGTGTTGCTTGTCGTGCGCGATGAAGGGTACCGCTGCGGCGCGCCGCGCGGCCCCTTCGATGAACTGAGGTAGAACATCTTCTTCGAATCTTTTACCCGGAATACCTTCAGATCGAGGTGTCATCCGCCATCTGGTCGCTGCAAATGCGTTCCTTTTTGTGGGACAGTTGGGAACGATCCTCGGAGATCGAGCCGCGACCTGTGACTCTATCGGAACTCTTGCTCAGCTTCCGCTCCTCTAACTCATTGTGCTGATCCCCGCAGCTGTCATTAGTTAGCTTAAATTATCAGACGCGGGCTGCGAGTGCTCGAGTCCTCCCAATTGACAAGGGTTTCGCTCGGAGGAACCGTGCGCATCGCTCCTCCGGGGACTCCCCTCCAGAAATCAAGACGTCGGCGACTCTGATCGAAGGAGTCAGAGGTTTCGATCAGTCAAAAGGAGTCAGATTTGCATAGAATTTTCATCAGATGAAGTCATACACCCAATAGAATGGGCGTGATCGAGACTTGGACGAGGCCTGCGAGGAACCGTCATCAGTAGGAACCTCACAAAACGAAATTTAGCAGTAGCCTGCGAGCCGGAATCAGTCAGACAACTTCGTCATGTCCTGCTCACCCCCCTCCCGATTCCGAACACGAAGAAACCCAAAGGCCGCGAGAAGTTGTTTTTGTTTCCGTATACACAGGTCGACCCACATCAGCATGTATGCCGCATTCAAGTGAAGAAATAATATCCGTGTCCCGTCCGGAATCGGAAAATCGAAGAGTACGGACTTCGTGCGGCTCTGATGAACGGGAGAGTTCGCTTGGGTATATGGAACCTGGAGAATATGGACATTCATGCGCTGATGCAATGACTCCAATGACTGAAGTCCACCAGCGAAGACAAACTCGCAGCATTGCTAGGAGACGATGAATTCTCGTCATTCCGTTCACACCGTGGGATCGAAAACTTTCTCTCCGTGATCTGTCTGATCCATCACGATGGTGCAACCGTGAGGCATATCCCTAGAGGGATTGGAGCCTCGGCCAGGTAGCTGATAGAAGTGGAATCCGGCTAGTTGGCTTCACATCAATCCTTGCAAGACTTGTGAAATCAATCAGAGAGTTAGGGGTGATTGAGGCCGCCAAATGGAAATCCAAGGGCTCAACTATAGCGCTATATTCCTTCACCTCGGTGATCGAGCATTAAAATCATCACGGAAGCGTTCTTCCCATTCTAGAATCCTAGCAGCCCCGTAGTCAGAAGGAGAGCTCCCGAGATGGATCATGAGATCGTCTTATCGTCTTATGTCAAAGGCCGCCCCTGAGCTCGCCGCCAATTTCTCAGCCAATTTAGCAGCGACGCAGAGCCGCCGCGCCGGTTGCCTTGAGCCCTCTAGTCTGCAACGACGCCGGGAGTCTTTCTTCATCTAGACCTTACGTCAAATAGCGCGGCAGACACGAAGAAATCATGGCTCTATTGACCGAGTGATTGAACTTCACAGGAGGAGTGACATCGCATCGACCTTGTTTCTGTACACTTCATCATGTTCCCTCGCCTCGCTACCGATGCTGCGCTCAGAACCGCAATAACTCACATCGCCTCTTCAGTATAGCAGATCATGAATCATGAGGTCCCGCGACTCCGCAGCGCGAGATTGCGCATCCTAACTAAATAAATCACATCCTACGAACTTGTTACTCTAGAGTCTAGGGTCTAGGCCATGACTTGGGGAAATTAGCCCGAGGGGTTTTCCCAATGCCAACGGTGGGAGCCATGCATCCCTCGTCGAGAGGCTTTAGAGCGCGACGAGGGGATTCTCCTCCCTCGGTTGGTGTTTCCGAGGATCTTTTGGCCCAGTACTCTGAATCTCTCAATGGATGAAAATCCACTCATCCGGTTTTTCCAGCGAAAGATTCCAACTCTCCGACTCTTCGGTAACTGGTTGTGACCTCCCGAAGTCCACGCCGGAGCCGGAGTTGAAACTCGGAAGGTGAGGGAGCCATCGGAGAAACAGCCGGCGGCCACTTATTCCGCTTGATATCCGTGCGCGGTATTCGCCAACCAATTTCGTCTATCAGCGGGTTCGTCTGAGAGTGAGGGATCCTCTACTGTGAGCTCAACTTGAGCGCCCTCGGCCCTCAGCTCAAAGTCACCTGCTTTGCTAGACGAAGATCATTGCCGCGATCATCATCATCATTGTTGTCATGTATTGACGGCGTTCGTTACTCTCTGATCCACCGTTCCAAATATTTTCAACTCGATCAAGATTCATCAGCCGGCTTCGAGGTTCGAGTAGTCCGAGATGTCTCGGACGTTTTCGGTGTTCATGGTGGCCGAGAAGCCCTCGTTAGCTCAGTCACTGGCCAACATCCTTTCGAACGATAATTGTAAATCTCGGAAAGCGATGAATGGCGCGTGTTCCGTGCACGAATGGAATGGAAACTTTCAGAAGTCTTCAGCTCGCTTCAAAATGACTTCTGTCTGTGGCCACGTGATGACAGCCGACTTCACTGGCAAATACAACAATTGGGATAGAGTTGATCCAGCAGAGCTGTTCCTCGCTCCTATAGAGAAGAAAGAAGCGATTCCCAAGCTGCACATGCCGAAAATGCTCTCGATAGAGGCCGAAGGCAGTGATGCGGTCGTCTTGTGGCTCGATTGCGACAAAGAAGGTGAAAACATATGTTTCGAAGTCATCAACGCCATCCGGCACTCAATTAAGAAAAACGCTCAAATCCTCCGGGCCAAGTTCAGTTCGATCACCGAGAAAGACATCAAAGCCGCCATGAACTGTCTTGTGTCTCCGAACGAGAACGAGGCACTCTCTGTGGATGCGAGACAGGCTCTCGATCTGAGAATAGGCTGTGCATTCACCAGATTCCAAACCAAATACTTTCAAAACAAGTACGGCAACCTCGACTCATCCTTGATCTCTTTCGGTCCGTGCCAGACGCCCACACTGGGGTTCTGTGTCGAGAGACATGACAAGATCCAATCGTTCAAACCCGAAAACTACTGGGTGCTCAACGCCCAGATTAAACTGCCCAACAACAACATCGTGACCCCCGAATGGGATAAGGGGAGCATCTTTGATCAGGAGGTAGCGTCGGTATGCTTGGCAATGGCGAAAGGAGCCAATCATGCCCGAGTGCTCTCGATACAGGACAAGGAAATGTCAAAATCCCGACCTCTGGCCCTCAATACGGTGGAGCTCATGAGGGCCGCCAGCGCGGGTTTGGGTATGGGACCTCAGCATGCGATGCAGATCGCAGAGAAGCTTTACACTCAGGGTTTCATCTCGTATCCCCGGACCGAAACCACGAGCTATTCTGAAAACATGGATCTCAGAGGCACCGTGCAAATGCTCAAGAACATCCCCGAGGCGTCGAACTTCGCCAATAAACTCCTCGCCAATGGCTTGAAGCCGAAGAAGGGCACGGACGTCGGTGATCATCCGCCAATCACTCCAACCAAAGCAGCGAGTAGAGCCCAACTGGACGGGGACAGTTGGCGTTTATACGAATACATTGTTGCTCATTTCTTAGGGTCACTCGGTGGAGACCTGAAATATCGCCAAATGCAAGTGGCTCTGCTCATCGGTAATGAACCCTTCACACTAACTACCAGGAAAACCATCGATCCCGGTTTCACTGCGATCATGACTTGGCGAGCCGTGAGTTCCAACAGCGAATCTCTGAACCTCACGGTCGGAACTCAGCTCGAAGTGGTTTCGATGAAGCTCGACGAACGTCAAACGTCTCCACCAGATTACCTCACCGAATCGGAACTAATCGCCCTGATGGACAAGCACGGAATCGGTACCGACGCCAGTATTCCAGTTCATATCAACAATATTTGCCAGCGGAATTACGTCACGGTGGAGAACGGCCGCCGACTCAAACCCACAAACTTAGGAATTGTTCTAATTCATGGCTATCAAGCCATAGACAAAGATTTGTGTCTGCCATGGATGAGGGCAGCCGTCGAAAAACAGCTGAACCTGATAGCGACAGGGAACGCGAATTACGACGCAGTCCTCAAGCACACACTGACCGTTTTCCAGTTGAAATTCCATTATTTCGTTGCGACGGTCGCAGCCATGGACGGTCTTTTCGAATGCACATTCAGCTCTCTGTCGGATTCCGGGAAACCGATGTCCCGATGCGGGAAATGCAGGCGCTACATGAAAATCGTCAACAGCAAACCCACGAGACTACACTGCCCTAATTGCGACGAGACCCTGTCCCTGCCTCAGAACGGTGGCGTGCGAATGTTCAGAGAAATCAAGTGTCCCCTCGACGAGTACGAGCTGCTCCAATGGTACGGGGGCTCCGAATGCAAATCCTTCATTTTCTGTCCCTACTGCTACAACCACCCTCCGTTCAAAGACATGAAGAAAGGATCGGGCTGTAACGCGTGCGACCATCCCACCTGTCTGTACAGCAAAACGACGAACGGTATTTGTAATTGTCCTGAGTGCGACGGTGTGCTGGTCCTGGATCCGGCCTCGGGACCGAAGTGGAAAATAGCTTGCCATCGCTGTGACGTCATGGTGAGCTGTTTCGAACACGCCTCCAGGGTGACGGTGGAAGAAGAAAAGTGTGAAAGCTGTGATTCACAAGTAGTAACAGTAGAGTATAAAAGTTTGGAACGTACGAAGCTGAGCAACGCTCTCCAGGAGCAGACGGGCTGCGTATTTTGTGACCCGTTGCTCACTCCACTGGTCGAGAAGAAAATCGCTCTGAAACCAAGAATCATTCGCAATCGACCCGCGCGACCAGCTGGAGCGAAGGGCAAGCCCAAGAAGAAGCCGAAGCCAAAGGATAAAATGGCTCAGTTGGCGGCGTACTTTGTTTAGCCGTACCCACCATTCCTTGATTCGTTCCAATCACCTAAACGAACGTCATGGCATTCCCATCGGCGAGCTGAGGTCTGCGGAGCGGCTGGCGCCAATACTCACTACGCCAATCTGTCTGATCAAGAGGGTTAGAAAGCTGTCCACCGATCCAACCGGCGTATATGCATGGGGATTATTTCCAAGATTTCTCGAAGCGCTGGCTTTCCATTGGAATGGCTACCATGAGGATGCTCCGACTGGGTAATTGTGAAAGGTCGTCGGATGGCTCTCCGAGGAGACGGAGGCATTTCATCCGGAGACGAACGCTCTCGTTCCGACACAAGCCCAGCGGACGAACGCAAGGGAAAACACATTTAAATCCAAAGTAAGCGATACAGCAAGACATTTGTGATCTGCGGATCATGGTGAACCCTGTGAGCAGAACAATCTAGTGATTTGCTTTACTGAAGGGAGAGTTCAATAAAGGAAGGTCGTGGAGAATTATTTAAAGGAACCCGGTGGTGTAATGATTACCTAATTGCAATTACCTAATTAATGAATTCTGCTGTGACATACGCCGCTCTCGATACCGGATTTCGAAGGGTGAAATTGACGACTCCCAAAGGCAGTCGGAGGTATCAGGGAAGCTTCCTGCTTTCAGGAAGCTTTTTCACGCCTGGGTGACCAATATTTCTTGAGGGCTGCACTCGAGACCGAGATAGCCGAGATGGTCGCCGTCAAGCTAACAGAGGAAAATCTGCACGCCACTCGCGATTTTCGATGCGATTGTTCCTCCCTGCGCATAATATCCCGCTTAATATGACGTGGGATCATCCTGGCCAGGCTCTCCGTGACGGGACTGGTCAGAATGGCAGGCCCTCTCCGTCATTTCGTCCATGGGACATTGACGACTCGACAAAGTTCGCGTACACCACGAGGACGTTTCGCTCTGGAAAGGGTATCCGGGGGAGAGAGATCCACGTTCATGCGGCTCGAGCAGCTGTTAGCTCGCGATAAGCACCGAGAGCGTTTATGTTGCAGAATTTTTATGTGTGACGGAGGATGGAAGACTCAGAGAGCGCCCACATGCTCTCGGAGAGGTCTTCGAATGTCTGCGCGAAGACGAACAACAATGGAACCGGTGTGACAGGTGAATCCATCGCTGATCTTCCACCGAACAGTTGTATCGAATCAGAGCGCTTCCGGCGTAGCGCATCAGGGAACTTAGACGGCTCTTGTTTATCTAAGCTCCTCGACACCCGATCGGGTCGGTTGACAGTAGCGGGACGGACCAAGGTAGACCGGAGGAACTTCTGGAATCGAGTGGCGTACCACAGCTCTCCGAGCACGTCGGCCTAAGGGATCCATTGCGGAATATCCACCGTCATCTCGATCGACATGGTATTCAGGACGGAGTTCATGGTGTGTCTAGGTCTTTGGTTGAACTCTTTACACAGCATGTCTCCAAGAACCAATGGAAGCATTGAGCCTGACTTCGGACTTCTAGTGTACTTCCTACATGGGTCATCGATGGGTGATATTGGGTTGTGTTTGGAGCCACACTTCGGACTTCGAGTACAGCTATTCCATTCGATTCGACCACTGAATGTATGCCGGACATAAGAAATGCATTACTTCCGGTCAAGGATCGCGAAACTTGATCGCGAGTTTCAACGACTCAGGCTGTCGATCGATCCATCAGAGTCGATTGCAATCGGGCGTTCCGTTTGCCGATACATTCTGTTGGCTGGGAGCGAGTCCAGGTGTCGGAATCACGAACAGTCTCTTACTCTCTCAAGTCATTTCGAGATTCGAGACCGAGGCTCAATGTGAGGCGATCGCTGCAAGACATTTGTCCGGTCCGCTATCGGATTAGAGCGTAGTGCACGAATTCCGCGATTGATTATTGAGGATTGATTCCACGGCTGGATCCCACTCAGGGTAGTGCAGGGTCTCCTGGAGCGAGCCGTTTCACGGCGGGAAAAGGGAAGCAACTCTTCATTACGAAGAAAAGTTATGTGAGTAAGGATAAGTTGCGGCAATATCGGTCCTTCTCTAGACGGCGACGCTGCTCCCTTGCCTCAAAAGACAGCGAGCTCAGCGCCTCTGGTGGACGTTTGTTGCGGTCCGTACGTTATTCGGTGTGCGGCGGAATGAGACGTTCTCTTGCTTTCGGACGGCTGCTGGACGCGGATCCAGCGGGTTTCGGTGCATCGAAGACCAGATTGTGCACCGTCGCGGCGAAAATCTTGTGAGCTGGTGAGTTTAAAACCCACTGAAATACCTATCAAGCAGAAGTCAAGGGAGTCTTTCAGTTCACTCGAAGCTCCACCGGTCTGGGGTTCTCGGTCAGAAAACGTCGGCGTACCCCCAGCCTGTCAGTGTCAGATGGGAAGCGACCTGCCGATCATGGTGTAGCCGTCCTCGAAAGAGCGTGATTCCAATGCACGCGGAAGTCCCTCGATCCGCAACCTCTCTTTCACGTGCTGATAAATATGATTTGTCAACCGCTTAACCTCGAAAATTCAACCGGAAGCCATCTGGCTTTGAGCGGGTAGTTGCCAAACCGAAAGTTTGGCATGCAGCACTTTGTCGACTTTCAATGCCTGATGCCTTGATTAGGCACGGCATTCGAAGTCAAATCGGTCGAAGCGAACTTTGCTCAGCGAGACGTGCCGCTTTCACGATCGAGGCAGGTGCATCCTAGCGTTCGTGAAGTCAGTCCATGACACTTCCGAAGTCAGTGACGAAGCAGTCATCCGGTAAATGTTAAGTTTTTGTTCTCGACAATCTTGAGAAGCGTTCCGCAAACTCCGCGCTGCAAGAGCCTGTCACCATGATCCCGGCCCCGATTGGGGCAACCTCAGTTTTTCCATTCGATGGATTCCTATGCTCATGGACCTGGATTGAATACAGATGCCTGGAACCACGGACTCCCCGTCGACGGCATTGCGTCGGTCGTGACTCTGCGAGACTTCACTTGCGCCGAAATCAGTCTGGTTGGATGACTTCTCCAGTGATCCCAAGAGCGAGTTGGGTCCCCGGGACTCCAGGAACACGGAAATGGATGGAGATACAATTTCTTCGGCTAACCTTCTTCGTTTCCTTTGCAGCGCGGAGCGATATGGCTCGCCCTGCAGAGGATCCCAAAGATGTCTCGGCGACTCGGGTACCGAAAGTCATGTACCTGGTGTTCATTTCCCTGATCATGGACTTGCTCGGCTTCACCATGATCCTCCCTCTACTCCCCTCACTCTTGGATCACTATCGGAAGCAAGACAGCGTCCTATACTCCTGGCTTGAAAACGTAGCCGAAGCCTGGAGGAGCAACTTCCTCGTGAGCACAACCGCTAATGACGTCAGCAATATCGTTCTCATCGGCGGTTTGCTCGGTTCAATGTTCTCCTTGCTGCAGTTCTTCACTTCACCGATAATCGGTGCTCTCTCGGACGTCTACGGCAGGAAACCGCTGCTGCTGCTGTCGAATCTCGGTTCTCTTGTATGCTACGGGCTGTGGTCGGTCTCGTATGGATTCGAGACGTTTGTTCTGTCGCGAATTATGGGAGGGCTGAGTCGCGGGAGTGTATCTATCTGCACAGCTGTGGTCGCTGATGTGTGCTCCACGCAAGCCCGGGCGAAAGGTATGGCGCTCGTGGGAGCCGCGTTCTCGATCGGATTCCTCGTCGGGCCGGTCATCGGAGCCGTACTCGCGAAATCAGCCGATTTCTGGGTCACACCCGCACTCCTAGCGATCGGTAGCATCTCGTTGAACATGATCGTCGTGCTTGTGTTCTTCACCGAGAGTCTTCCACAAAGCCGTAGAGCGAAAAACATCAGCAGGACCATGTCGACCGCGCTGAACTACATCAACCCGTACGCTCTGCTGACATTCGCTCCCGTTCAGAAACTCAGCATCAAAGATAAAGCCCACCTGACCATGACCGGATTCGTTTACTTCTCGTATCTACTGATCTACTCAGGCTTGGAATATACCTTGTCCTTCTTGACGCACTCCCGGTTCAATTATTCGCGCATGGATCAAGGTAAAATGTATTTCGTGATAGGCCTCTCGATGGTGCTCATCCAAGGAGGTTGCGTCCGGAGGATTCCTCCCCATCTTGAGCTGAAAGCCGCTTATTATGCAATCGGAATTCTTATCCCTTGTTTCTTCATCATCGCCATCGCACACTCGCCCATCCTCCTCTACATCGGGGTCCTCCTTTACGCCCTTTCCACGGCGTTCGTCGTCCCGTGCTTGAGTTCACACGTCTCCCGCATTGGTTCGCCGACTCAGAAAGGGACAATAATAGGTATCCTGCGATCCATCGGAGCTCTCAGCCGCGCACTTGGACCGCTGGTTTTCTCCACGTTATATTGGTCGCAGGGTCCGATTTTATGCTACGCACTGGGATCGGTCTTCTTCGTCATTCCTCTGGGATGCATCCGGTGGAAGCTCCTGGGTGAAAGGACAAAGAGTGCGTGAAAATTCGAGACGTCATGGAGACGTTCGTGAAACTTTAATAGAAGAGGTGGCTCCACGCGCATCGAGTGCGAGAATCTCCCTCCTCTGAATCTCTAATGCCTTACGCCAAACCTACGTAATGCATCTTGCATCTTGCATCACTCCGAGACTCAGATGCTACATCATGGAGGCAGCTGAACTCATTAGGGAAGAATTTGACCGAGTCGACTAAAGCGGAGTTAGGCGACCAAGGCGGAACTGATTTCGGTTCCTACGTATCCTCGATAGCCATTCGCGAGGGAGCAGCTTTTCTCCGAGGCAACCGGAATTCTCACTGAATAATCGTCGATCTCGAGGAGTCACGGAGGATCTAGCGCAAATATATGTAAATAAAATGTAAGGAAGTGCCGCGGATGATTATCGAGATTATTTTTATCTACCATTGTTTAATAAATTATGTCAAAGTTTCGAGTGCTATCAGGCTCGTTTCGTCTGTTCGCTGCGACGGTATCCATGACATTCGAAGAATCGGTGATCCGAGAGAGGAAGCCATCGAGCTCCATGATTTCCATCCGAAGTTTTCCGGGTGTCGATTCTTCGTCAGCGATATCACACTGTAGGAGCTTGCAGAAGAACTGCACGAGTCCAAAGTTTCCCTGACTTGAAGGCTTGGCAGTGACGAAGTGATACCAGTGTTCTGTACAGAGCCCAATATACTTCGCTCGACGCCGCCGTGTTTTCCAGGATTGAGACCATCCACTCAAACAGCTGGAACGATCAGAACACATAAAATTCGCTTGATTAGCTTGGAATTATCGGGGGTTCTTTCCGTGAGCGGACTCAAGCATGGTTGTCCATATCGTAGATGGAGACTCAATGCGATCGAGAAATCTCCAAATGTATCTCCCACCTTCTCGGCGGCGGTCAGCCCCCAAACTTTGCTGTGAACCAATTGCTCCATTTGGTACGGGAGAAGTGCTACCAGGTCTTCCTCAGAGTACGCTGTGACTACGCCCTCGCCCGAAGTCAGCATTGATATCAAGGATAGCAGCGCCAACCCTTGAAGACTGATAGCGTTCTTGGGCAAGATTTCCAGCAACCACTTCGCAGAATTGTCGATCGGGGGCGCGTAACAGTTGACTGCTGCACACTCGGACACGAAATCCCGGAATGGTCTGAAGCAAGAACTCAATCCTGTGACGTTGCTGCGGAAATAGTCACCGGGGAACTTTGGGAACAGACGACTGAGAAATTAGTATTTTTTTCCGATACAGGTAAGAACTCACGTGTCTCCCATGAGTTCGATCTCGGAGAACGGGTTCTCTGCCGAGTTTATGTCCAAAGCTCCGCAGAGCTTCATCCGCAACTCGAGAGCTTTTTTGAGACTAGGTTTCGCTTTCAGATTCCGCAGAATCGCATCTCTGAGCATCGAATCTCGAAGTTTCACGAGACAAGACGCTACAAAGAAGCGGGCTTTCGTGAGCGGCACGGCGTAGCATACCAGCTCGAGCAGCAGAGAAATCGATGCTGGTCTCGAAGATGGGTTCTCCATATACTCTACCAGCATCTGGAAGCGAGTTTGTGGCTTATTTTCCATTTTCCGAATCATGGGAAGTTTAAAGGCCCGAAAAGATCCCAGGGTGATGAAATGGGTTTCGCCCCACGACATGGGTACTCCTCGAAAGGGGTTACACGTAGTATGTGCATATAAATATCGGGTAACGGAAACCTACCTTCCAAGCCTCCTCAGAAATTTCCGCATCATCATTTAGGAGTCTTTTATCTCTGAACATGGTCAGGCACGCGCCGACTCTGGCAACGTTGCAGACTTCGACCACGGTGCACACATTATCCATCAGGAAGTCCTTGACAGGATCCTGCCGTATAAAGCCGATTCTGAGTATGAGAACAGATAGGGCAGAGGTAATCTGTCGAATTTTCATAGAAACTCGGTAGAAAGCTTGAGAAAAGCACGGCGAAAACGTGCCTCATATCTGGAGAGTAAGGTGCCACTTATAGCAGTCTCCAATAGAGGCACCAGACTCGGCGTCGCTTTGCAGTTGTAAACGCAAAGACGGACGATATCGACGCAGACCGGTGTTCTCAAGAGCGGCTCGAAGGAACTCCATGAGAAACAGGGGAGCGGGCCTTCAAATTTCTGTCCGAGCGCATTGTACAAGTCGGTGGGGAAGTTCTCTGCAAGTATTTTGAGAATGAAAGCGTCGGAAGAGATGGCGCAGTTGAGAGAAACATCTCGAGAAACATTAACACAAAACCTCGCAGAGAAACACGTGTATCTCGGCGACGCTTTCCTAGAGGGGACCGCCTACCTTTTGGACCATTGTTCAGAATTTCCGCCAGCATTGAGTTTTTCAGCTCGATGGACTTGGGGAATACAGCTTCCTGTTTGAATGTACGAGACAGTGTTTGATGGAAGAGACCCAGGGTCCATATATGATGTCCCTTGAGCTCTAATGGTCGCGCTGTCGAGTTGAGATCGCGAATCATCGATTCTAACAAGGATGATGTCACATCCCGGGACAGGACCGAGTTGCAGTCCAGAGACACGTCTTTGTACTGGAACAAAGCGGAAATGAGGCCTCAGATCTGAAGTGGAGCAGAGCCAAGATAAGATCTAGAGGAGCATCAGTCTATCAGGAACGGAGCCTCGAGTCCCCGTAAAAGGCCTCGAGGGAAAGTCGGGGGTCTCATTGGGCCAGGGCTATACTTGTCGTCTAAGCAGTCCAATTGAGCTTTCCTGACTCACACATCTGACGTTCCGCGCGCAGAGCTCGCAAGAGGTGTGATACGGAGGGAAGCTTCTAGCCGAAGCTTCTTTGTGTTGCTGACATGACTCAATCACAGCCGGAGATGCGAGGAGGGAGAGACCGCATTCGAACACAGGACGGGCTAACGTCAAAACTTTAGTTTTGTGGGACAATAAGCCTGATATACACAGTGTCATAATGTTTGCCGCAGGCCCCAGCTATGACAAGCTTAAAACCAACTTGAGGTTGTGCATGTCTCGGCTCAAGTTAGCCCAAAAGAAGAAAGCCGAGCTCGGTCAGAAGTCCAGGAGAGATATTGCCGACTACCTGTCGATGGGTAAGTTCCCAAGAGAGTGTCCGAGAAAAACTTCCCCGCTATCGGCACGGCATCTGCATCTTGGAGTCGTCTCTCCCGAGCAGAGGGCCTCGCAAGGGTTGTTGTCGTTTCGGAGCTGCGGGACGTGTGAAGAAGTTCCGCTCCGGAACTTTGTTCGGTTCCGCAAGGCATATTAGTCATCCGGCTCCATGACGTCAGGCGCTCAAGAAGGACGAGATTTATCGTAACCGACCAAGTTTCTCTTCGTCATACGAGTTGAAGGAATATGGATGAGCCCGAGCCCGATAGATCCGGAGTTCCGAAAATGGGCCCACTCCCTCGAGCATTCCATTCTTTCAAACAGGCAAACCGGACAGAGCTCGGATTCGCGTGGAGCACATCATCCGGGAGGACTACTATTGCGAAGCGATGGAAATGATCGAGATGTACTGCGATCTAATTCTAGCGAGATTCGGACTCATAAAAGAAACGCAGACCTTAGACCCCGGGCTCGAAGAAAGTGTCTCTTCGATCATCTGGGCAGGTCCGCGGATCGTGACCGACATTCCCGGTAAGAATAAATCCTCATCAGATCGCATTCCTGCAGGAGGCTCGAGAATTTCGTCGAAATCAGTCGCAATGAGAATAAAAAATCGATCTCTTCCAGAAATAAAAATGGTGTGTGATCAGCTGGGAAAGAAGTACGGCGAGCTCTACGTGAAAGGCGTTCGAGAGGCGACGATTCACACCGTCAACGCTAAGCTCATGCACAGACTTTCGGCGGAACCCCCTCACCGAAATCTTGTTGAAAGGTGAGCGTTAGAAGAGAACTCTTCCGGGACGAGAACCAAAGGTTCGAGGTCGAGTGGTAAACCCTAAGGTATTGAGCCGACGGGACCGCGGTCGGATTTAGCTCAATTTGGGTGTTTTCTCCAGTTACTTGAAGGAAATCGCAGCAGCCCACAACCTGGACTACGAGCCGCAGCTCGTAGACGACTCGAAGGGTCCGGGCGACGGAGGAATCGGTGAGCTCATCGATATGGGCGGCAGCGAGCCCTCGGCCGCTGTGGGCTTCCGGCCTGATCTCATGGATCCCTCATCGGCTCCGAAACCCGCGAGAATCGCGCCCGCCTTCGAGCCTCCGATGCCCGAGGTCAACTTCCCGGGTGAGTTGAGAGCGGGAATCCGAGATAGGATCAAGGGAACACCGTCCCCGTTTTTTCGTGATCTGAGTTGAGCGTGTCCTTCCCTCGGCCAGTCGTCCTAGTGCAACGAATCTATGTCGGAATGCTTTTCGCAGGCCCATCGGTGCCACCCGCGCTACCGAGGAGTCCTCCCGTTTCCCAGAAACCAACGAAACAAGATACCCCCATGGATCCTTACGCAGGAGGTAATGATCCACCTCCTCCTTCCTATGATCATGCCACGATGGGTAGGTTCTGAGATGAAAAATGATATCCCCAATATTCTCCGTTGGATCCCATCGGGTTATAGTCACTATACCAATGGGACCCCCTGGTCCCTCGGTCTGGACCCTCTTCAACCGGCAAAAAGACACTTAGGTATCGATTAGCCAGTAAAAAACACGAATCAGGGATAACTTCACGAAAAGACACCCCTACACCCTTGGCTCGGTATCCCATGTCTCCTGCATGTTCCGCATTCCGGAATTGGTCGATGTGAATCCAAACGTCTGTGCTCTCGGGGTTCTGTATCTCCGTGCACGGATAGTCTCGCATGATTCGCCCGCATAATTGTCGAATCTCTCATTCGGATTCGCATTCGGTGGACAGCGCTGACGAAAATCTCCTCTGTGGGTTTCCAGGACGCAACTTCCCGCCGGATCTGCCAAACTTGGACCTCTCGGAACTACCAGACCTCCCGGACGTCCCCCATTCGGACGCGGCAACACCACGGGAAACCGATGGACAGCAAAACAGCGTAGACTTCGACGAGCTTTCAAGACGCTTTGAGGAGCTCAAAAAGCGGAAATGATGACGTAAAATCTTATCCTGTGATCGAATCCGGAGCGAGCACGGCCGGAATAAAGATTCTTGTACTTGCACGTGGTTTATGAACAGAATCTTCTCGTCTGTCCACTGGGGGTCTATAGTAGCTCACCGAAATCAATAGAGAGGCTTTTCGGAGGCCCGCTCCGAGAATGCTCACCTGCACGAACAGATGACCGAGGGCTCCTGTCAGGGCTGCGATCCCTTTCACGGCGGCTTTCTTGTTGGGGGTTGCCTCTTGAGCGTTCGCTACGACGGGTAGCCAGATTTTCGTCACGAGAGCCTCGACGAGTTTCTGACCTTTTCGCTCCGGGAGCTGGAATACAGGAGATAGGAGCTCAGAATTGGGATTCCATCGAGATCCTTTGCGAATGAGAGGGTCGCGCCCGAACTGGGCTCCTGCATGGACAGGCTTCGAACCTACTTGACGGATCTCCTCCTGAATGGCCATGGCGTTCAGCGTTATTCCCAAGGCGATGGCTATTCCTTCACTCTGTTGAAACTCGGCTCGGTTCTGAGTAAGCCACGCCGCTAGATCTTCAAGTGATTTCTCCGAGAGGACGTAGTTGCACGCATTGGCCACAATGAGCGATCCGCATAGCGCGATCTGATCGAAGAAATCGTCGTGGGGTACGGTTTCTCTCAGAAGTCGAATCAGTTTTGCGCAAAAGGACTGCGTTGTCGTGGAGAAGGACTTCAGAGAGCACAAGCCACAGAATGACAGGGTCAGCCCTATCAGGTAGCACGGACTGAGAAAGAGGAAAAATCATGAGTCCTGCCTTGATCCTGCGTGCTCAGCAGGGAAGCCCCGCTCCGGGTACCTCATATGTAGTTGGGAACGTCTCCCGCTCGGACGATGTTCTTCAGGCAACGGATTGATGGTTCTGATTACCTCGATACTTTTCCGTCAACGAACGCTTTCGACTCGTAATGCGACAGGACAGCATTGCACTTCATTCGGATATTCTCTGCCAGCTCGACAAGACCTTTGACCGCCAACTGCTCTATCATGAGTCCGGCTCCAACGGCCACCATGAATTCCTGGCTCGCAGAGACCCTCATGGTGAAGTATGAGAGGACTTCATGCAAGAGGTTTCGAGTTTGGAGCATCGGAATGAGGTGATGACAGGAGAACAGCAGCGCTGAGATCGCCCTGTCTGTCGCAGCCGCGCTTTTCGTGAAATTCTGGAGGGTTCAAAAATGGGTTCACTTGTGACGGATCGGTTAGACCTGCGATCAGTCCGGAGCCCTCCGTCCTTGGAGTTGGATCGGGGTAGAGGGATATTGACTCACTGCTAGTGTCGAAACGAAGTAGGCGTCATCGACTGGAACGCCTTTCAGGATCTGCAGGAGACTGGTAAGGGCTCGCTTGAGCCAAATTGTGTGACTGACGTAGCTTTTACTCTGTTCCATGATGAGACGCTCCTTGAAATTCAAGCTCTGGTCGAAATCGGCGACGACAGCCACCAGCGAGCAGAATGCGATGACACAGTTCGTAGAATCGATTTCGGCCAAGATATCACACAACTCATCGCGAGCCCACAGCGAAGCATTCACCAATGCGGCGTCGTTGCTCTCGCGTTCAGCTTTGTGTCCATTGGTGAAGGATTCGAAACCCCTGCAACGAGAATCTGTTCACAAATCGGCCGCTTTGTCGCTCGTAGCCAATGGAGGATGCACAGACTCCTTGGCTCGGCGTTGACGTTTTTACCTTTTGATCAAAGGATGCCATTGCTGCATTACACTCAAAGACATTAGCCAGTCGTCTCCATTGAGCAAAGGAGCAGACTCAAGCAAAGACTTGAGCATCACTCGAAAGGAGTTCGAATGCTGAACTAGCGAAATCTTCGTGGGCCGTCCGAATTGGTCAGTTTTTACGGGTGGATTATACGTCAACAGAAGTCCCACTGGAGGCACGCAGCACAATATGAAAAATGTTAGGTGTCCTTGTCATCGTCTCCATAGCCATTGACCTAGGCTCAATGGATTGCACTCTCCCGGGAGCATAAAATATATATAGAGGAAGTTACCTGCGACTTGGGGCTTTATTTCATTCGCTTGATGGAAAAAGCTCTGTTGCAGCCTCGGAATTTGAGCGAGTGTCGCATCTTCCACGTCGCGTCGACCGCGGATTTCTTTATGAACGATTAAGTTCCTGCGGACCGCCGTATTCTTAACCGATCGTATGGAATCCTCCGCATCATCGGGGAATCAGACCACCCCGCGCGGTGGTGGGAGGGAGCAAGGTGGTAAGAAATGCCGAGATGGCACTCACCTCGGTAGCTTGGGGACCTCTTCACGGATGAGCGTCGATGCAAATGTGCGGAGAGCTTTCCTCATCGTTGAATCCGCTTCACAACCCCGCGCGAGACCCAGGAAAAATGCCATGGGGACAAGAGGGTCGGCGGATTCCGCCAATGTCGTTTCGTCCCCAAAAAAACTCGAAAGCGCCTGCAGATTAGGATCCGTGAGTTTTCCTTGTGACCGGCGTCGAATCCAGCAGTTGATCGATGCGAGCTCAAGACACATTTACCTGTGCGGGTAAAGCGCTCACAGGGATCTCCTTGAATGAAGACAGGGCTTCGAGGCAAGCGCCCCTGACTACGGAGTCTTCATCCTCCGAGAAGAGCGTCGAAAGTAGCTTTTTCTCGTAGATCAGGATTTTCGCGGACGGCAGGTTCGACCGAGCAGCCAGACCTTGGAAATTATACGATTCCTTGAGGGGTGTATCACGAGCAGGACCAACGCAACGGCTACCACGAGCGCATGATTGCCAATTCGAATCGTCGGGAAGCGGAGCAGAGATCGATATACCGAAAAGTTTGAAGAATCCGGCCCTGACGAGAAGTCTAGGATCCCTCTCCAAGGCTGAAAAGTGCTTCACGAAAGATGAAAAATCGAGGATGTCTTCACTGATCAGGAAGCTGAAACTTTCGAAGGCCGACAAGAGAACTGAGGAAGCTTCAGACGAACTGATGGCTAGCAGTCTGCACAGCGGTGCAAGCAGATCGCGTCCGTGAAGGTGAGGACTGAAATTACGAGATACGCTTTATGAGGGTTCCCTCGCGATGTTATTATCAGAGTACCGCTCGCTGTCAAATTCTCGAATGAAGAACCTGTGCTGGACGACGGAGTTTATACAAACGGCTTTGGTCATCGCGGTCGACCAGGCCGCCTGAGGGTCCCCTTGTGAATTGATGCCTTTGAGAAGCGCCGGGAAACACAGGCTGTCGAAGCGCAAATACAAGCAGGTCAAGACCCGCAGAGCGGTACAATATAGCCTCGGTCTTTGCATGAGGCAAACCAAGAAGTCTCGCAAGAGAGTTGCCGAAATCTGCAACGGATGGTGAACTCATTGATGGAAATAGAGGGATCGAAAAGAAACGGACACTGTTGAGCCGCTCTTCACCCTGATATATTAGTGGAGACTTTGAACACGAATGAGCGGATTTACCCGATTTCTCGTGATTCGCGGAAGGCTTTTAACGAGCAGGTCAGTCATTTTCGGTGATTCGCACAAATCAACGCGGATCCTGATTGCGTGGAATGCCATACATGACTGAAATTCGATTTGTGTTTTTTAGAAGAGTTTATCGCGCTGATGAGTTCCCTTGGAACCCTTTGCTCGCCCGACATTGTACGAAGAGGTTTTCCATCGTTCATCCGATTCCGTCACCCGAATCTCCCGTCGTTCACTCAATCCCTTTCTTTGCAATTTCTTCCAGGATTCCCTATCTTTCATCCAGATCTCCGATTGTTCGCTAAATTCCCCCTCGTCCAATTTCCATTCAGATTCCCTGTCATCCCTCGGATATCCTTGGAAGGGAGCGCGAATGTTTGTAGCTGCAGATCTCTAGTTCCCTCCATGTGCCCTTCTGTGCTCATGACACCTGCAGTCTTGTACGATGGGAGAGGGGCCTCGAAAGACGCAAGCATAACCGGATTCTTTGAGGGACTCACGCTCTCAGGGTATTCCTTGGCGAAGGATTCCATCTGATCAAGCCATCCGAGCAAGTCTTCAGTTGGACAGGACACGATTTTCCCAGCGAGGAGTAATGCTTTCATGTCACAGGATATGCCACAAGGAAGGGGGCCGGGTTTCAAGGAGCTCGATGCAACGAATGACTCTATCAGTATATTTCCCGGTAAAGGAATCCTGCAAGCCAGTCGGACGGGCTCTCCTGGAACAAAAGCCATTGATTCAATAAGATTCAGGAGAAGGGGAGAGGAATCCGCGATTTGTTCCAATAGGATCGCGATCTTCCGAGTCGATCACATGCACTATCCGCGGGGATAACCGCCGCATGCGACGGAATGCTTATAATCACCGGTCTGATCCCCGAGGCTCGCGAGGAGTTGTCGAGCTCGATGGCTATCAGCGACAGCGGAAACCGGGACCGCGATCGTGAGGTGATGGCTTTGTACAAGCAAACGCCGCCTGATAAGTATCCCCAGGAGATCCAGGAGGAGCTCACAATAAAATAGGCCACAGGAGACTAGCAAGGAGCTCATTAGAAGCGTCAGAGCACAATGCGATGTGCACTCCTGCAATAACGAAAGATAATCCGTGAAATCGGCGAGCATTCCGAGAGATTTCTCGTGTCGATCTGCAGGTGACCTGTCCTACCTCGATCTCTTCGGCGATCTCGATCGCGGCATGGACGACGAAGGAAAAATCCAGATTTTTCGATGCGACGTCATTAAGGAAAACCAGAGCCCTCAAGAGCCCTTCGAGAGTTTTCACTCTCGTCAGGTTATCCACTAGAAGTTGCCCCGCTTCGAGTTGATGGTTCGAAGGGCTCGGAAGCCACGAAGTATAGAGTTGTATCAAGTTCCGATTCTTGTCATAATTCTTCAACAGCAATGAATTAGCCCTGTCGGGAAAATAAGATTCGATTGGGATCGTTGTGAGAAGTTCGACGTCCAGAGGGAAATCGGTGGAGTGGATGAGAATCCGGTTTTCCCGGATTCTCGATCGACCGGAAGTTTGTCGCTCTCGGATAATTTGACGGACCTGAGTCTGAGCTGGGAATGCTCCAGTGGCCATTCGGGTCTTAAGAGCGTGTGCAATATGATGAATTTGTATTCTTCGAGCGGCAAGACTCGGCATCTCATCCCAGGATTCTCGGGTGCCTGGCGCAACGCCGCCTCCAATAGGCTGAGTAGTTGCGGCCATGTTGAGGAATATTCGTTGAGAAGGAGTAGGAGGGGATGAGAGAACGAAGTAATCGGTAGGATGTAAGGTAAAACCGAGAGAGCTGATGCCGTGTGGAGGGTCACCGAGTTCGTCGAATCTCTGCGGAGCAAGGTATGAGCACGAGGTTCGGAGGCAACGAATACGTGATCGATTCTCGAGATTGGCGACCGCCTAACTCCCTCGATGTTGACGGATTCGGATTCAAAAACTTACAGGGCGCAAAACAAAGCTGTCTGAAGCTGGCGAGATGCGAACTTTGCGTCGACAAGACCCTTCCGGACGAGATCTTCGAGGAGTTCGCAGCACGCTTGGGAAACGGTTATCGAGGTCCCGACAGTCGCATTTATGATCTCCTCCAATGGCTGGTATTTCTATAAGCATGTATGAAGTATTTGAATCATGTCTCTTATGTTTTTCCAGAACCTGCACAGGGAGCAATCACGAACACTTCTGTGAAGAGTAGTTCCTTCCTTGACACGAGACTATAGGTGTGAAGAAGCGACTGCGGTCCAGAATGTTTTTGCGGCGGAATCCCGAACCCCCCTCAGATCCGGAGTCATATATGTATCTGGTTCTAAAATGTTTCAAGTTCCCTCAGGCTCTATCCAGGCAGGCTCGTCTCGGTCAACCTACCGGATGAGTTTGTTCGTTATATGCAACCTCCCAGGCCCGCGTCACTATCTCCTGACGGATCTTGTCGATGTACTGCAATTTATTGTAAACCGTCTATAATGAGCTGGTATCTCTCCTTTGGAATCTGATCAGGATCATTGGGGCTCTAGCTCGAGAAAATCAGAGAAGATTGACGTCCAATATATTAGATCTCCTCTCTTGACATGCCTTCTGCTGGACAGCGGGTGACGATAATTTAGCGAGCAAATCCATTAATGAAGGTGAAGAGACGAACAACTCCTTAGTTCTTCATCTGTTCGAGGGTACAAAAATTCAAACACATGTCTCACAGACCGCGAGTGTGATATGATAATGATGACAATGATCCGACCAGACAGCCTTGAGCCGGTCGGGCGGCTTGTTTCGCCTTCCCCTAGACTGGACTTGCGAGTTCCTTGCTAGCGTTCTGTTAGATGACGACTCAGGACTCCAAGCGTGGGGAATGACGACGAATTAGCGACTACGGCATTCCCGTCTCGTCTCGAGGAGAACCGCCCCCCCTTCCATCACTCTATGGGTACACTAAGGACTAAGATATACAGTGCGGTGAATCGGGGAAATGCCATTGGGGAAATGTTCCGGCTCTCGTCCTCAAGGCCCATGACTATGCCGCATGGGAGTGCCGCAGAGTCTGCGGGCTCCAGGAGGGAATAGATTTTTTCCCCCTTCTGGATGAGTAGGCTGGGATCAACCCCGAGAATCTAGTGGAGATTTCGATTTCAGAGCGGAAGTTGCTACGAAGCGATTCATCCTGGGCCGCGAGAATTTTATTATTTCTCCTTTCCAGGATTCTGGAGCTCCGGAACGGAATAGTTTCTCTTGTGACGTATGCTCTATCCGGTCTACATGGAGCAGTCGTTCCCGAATCTCCTCAATCAATCGCGCGGCCCACAGCCGTGAGAAGGAACTCATGAAAGGCTGAAAGTCTCGTGAATATCTGCGACTCGTTGCGGTCGGCGCATACGAACTCGGATCCTGTCTGCCGTGGCATCGCGTAGGAGGCAACACCCACCTGGAAGGGTAACGCCGCACTGATAATAGACCCAGCTCCGCACCGTGGCGATCAGCCGAGCTGCACAGAGACCTCTTGAATAAATTCCTCTGAATCCGTCATGAGTTGCATCCGCGAAATGTAATTTACCAGATAGTACACGCCCCTGTGCGATGTCATAAGAGGTCCGCCTGAGTCTCCCTTCAAAAGTGGTGAAATGATTTCACGCATCGAGTCACGATAAGCTACGAGCTACGAATTATGAAGTTCCTAAGGCTGCTCCGATCGGAGAAACAATAACTCACCGTGCAGATGCTCGTTCGACCATAGTAAACGCAGATCTCAGATTCCGGACCCCAATAGCTGGCTATCCTGCATTTGTAATCCTCCGGTGAGAGGACGGTGGTCAGAGCGAAGTGCAGCTTCGGAGATCTCACTGGCCCATCATCTGAAGAGACAAAATGACAAACAAGACCCCTTCCCGACACTGGAATCAGCATATCGCTCCTCAGAGTGACATCTGGGCCTCTACATATACCAAGGAAACCGAATCCCGCGATGATCACTCGTCTATTCGGCTCCGCGTCCGCAAGAAGAGAGATGCAGATCGGGCGAGCCATCGAGCCGATTGGCAATCGCTGTTCAAGAACTAGGATCATCAAGTCCATGAAAGGCAGCCCGTTCGGACTCTCTGCAGCCGATATACTCTTGGAAGAGCTGAGTGATGTCGAAGATCGGCCGATTAGTTTCATATTTCCACAGTCGGAGCTTTGCATGGGATTCGAACTCGAGTCAATTCCTCAGCGAACTCACAGAATGGCTTTGCGGAGTCCAACGATCGCGCCTTTCCTGACGTCGCCACTACCCGTAGTGACCGTCATCGACTCCAGGCTGCAAGAAAATGTAGTCCGTCGAAACTGGTAGCTCCGATACACGTGAGGAAATAGATGCGATGAGAGTTAGGTTAGTTAAATTACTCGGTCAGGCAATGAGCAGCAGTGAGCACGTGACGTGGAGTTATAAGAGTTCCCGTGCAGTCATGCCGGCCGTTCTTTCTTATTGACACGAGCCACGGGAACTGATGAATCGCAGCCTCGACACCGTCCCGGATCCGTCCGCTGAGTCTGGGATAACCGCATCCTGCTCGACCAGTTCACATCTAGCTTATCACTCATCACCGAGGACAAATAATCACCGCTTGATGGCTTCGCTTGACTGGAAGTGACCCTGGATCTTACCGCTCACTCCGAGAAGATTATTGGGATCCAGCTCTGCTGAAGTAAATCGGGATACCAATTGGAGGGAGAGAATTAGAGCTTTCGTTATGGGACTCATCGCGGCATGAGTCTGTGACAGGTAGGTGTCCAGCAGAATTGTCTCTGGCATGACGTAACGTCAAGCTGTAAGGTCGTGTCCGATTTCATCTGGAGGGTCTTTTGATATAATTCCGGCAAGCTCATTCAGATTGTCACGATCTGTCATCGTCTCTCTGGATTTCAGTAGTCAATCGCCCAGCGCGGAAGCGAGCACATTTCGTTTTTTTCCTCGACCGTGCATGGAAGAGGCATCAGGAAGAATTCAAATCCAAGAAACCGAAGTCGTTGGACTGGAATCCATCTCAAGCACGTCGAGATGTCGAGACTCTATGTCTTCATCTGTACCATAGATACTTCGTAATTCTTCTCCAATGAGTCGGTGTCCAGACTTCCAATTCCGACATGAGCTTTTTCAGATGACGCAGACCCTCCCCTCTTATGCAACCATACGACATACGACCCTCCGAGAACGAATCCGCGCCGAAGATGCGCTCCGAGGTTTAGTGTAAGTCGCGGAACGTCGACTTCTGTCCGCATGTGGCGGCTTAAACGGAGCCCCGTGAAAAAGAGAATACCGTGTTTGACTTTCACCATTTTCGGTCTTGACAATTCATTGCTTTTGTTGACGGCATCGGTTCCCGGCATGGGCGTGGATGAATGCTGAGGCATGTAGCTGTCCAGAGCTCCAGAGTATATGCGCTGAATCTGACGCGGTGTTTTTTGAGAAACAAGTGATCGAACACAGGATAAAAAATGGTTCTCCTACATATCCTTCGGAAACTCCGCAGACAAGAGCACGAACTACGCACCCTAGTTCTAGGACTCGATAATGCCGGTTAGTTAAGAATTTCATCGGGAATCGGCGCGATGAGGTAATCGCTGAGGAAAGAGTAAAACACACTCGCTTCCACAGGAAAAACAACCCTATGCAAGCGCCTCCTTGGCGAGCCTCTGAACGAAATCGCGGCAACCTTAGGATTCAACATAACAACTTTGGAGCACCGAGACTATAAGGTGGGTCCTCACCCCGATGAGCCTAGATCGGGGCTCCTCCACGGGGAGTCACAGACGTGAACCGCTCTGGAAACTCTTGCAGGCTTTTTGATTTTCGATAGAGGGCATCACCAGGAATAGAACAAGGCGTGCCGATGGAAATATTGGAGTTTCGCTCTCTCAGATTAATTTATGGGACGTTGGCGGACAAACATCGTTGAGATCGTACTGGAGGAACTATTTCGAGTCAACCGATGCGATCGTGTGGGTGGTCGATTCTGCTGATCGAAGGAGACTTGACGACTGCGCTAAGGAGCTCCACGATCTCCTGCAAGATGAACGGCTGCTTGGAGCGACCTTGCTCGTCCTCGCGAACAAGCAGGTATTCAATCATTTCTGGAAGATTCTCCGCGACTCTTGAATCAAACGAAACCCCTCCCACCTCGATAGAATCCCCATGGACGAGAGTTCTCAATCTTTCAGGACCTAGATGGTGCTCTCGGACCGGACGAGATCCGCGATCATTTACGGCTCCATTCGATAACCACGCACCATTGGCGGGTTTTCCCCTGTTCGGCTTTCACATCAGACGATTCCCTTCTGAATGCTATCGACTGGATGCTCGACGATGTAGCTTCGCGACTGCTCACGTTGGACTGATGTGTGAGGCCGCCCACGCGGCGGAGAGGATTCCGGGGCCCGATATCGGCAACCACATCTTGAGCCTCATTCTGGAAAATCGAAGAAGTTTGGTGGACCACAGCCACAGAATCCTAACAAGGTTGAGGATTCTCATCGCCGTCTTCGGCAATGGAAGGTCTCCTGATTCGATCTCCTGATCGGACAAGTGATCTTCGCAACTGCCTTGGCCCGCGGTGGAATGCCAAGAAATGTTTAGGGAAAATTCCCAGAAGCACACTCGATCGATCCGAATATTCACGCATTTGATAAAAATGGTGAAATAAACGACTATTGCATGGACTTGGCTCTTGAGGTTCTCATCAGCCGACCGATTCGCGGAAAACCCATCATACGAGTTATTTTACTCATTTATCATTTCCGTTCTGAGTGAGTTTAGGAGCTCATCTGTGAGTCATGTGTAGTCCCTTTATTGCTTACACACCGCAAAAAGTCACGTCAAAACACTCAAAGCTCCTCCTCAATTCTGTGAAGTCTCTCCACCGGATGCGTAATTTCCACAGAAGGGAGATTATGTTGTCAGAGCAGATCCGTGAGCTAGATCCCGCACTTGGAGGAGCCTGTTGACCCATCTACCGCGAAGAGTCTACACCGTCGATCGATTCCTCGTTGGTCGCTTCTACTCCAGCGGAGTCTTCATCGAATCTCTGTTTTTCTCGGGGACAGGACCGTGACACGAACCTTGTCATACGTTCAATTGATTTATAATCGCATCTGGTCGAAAATTGCTCACGCTCATCGATCGAACGGCTGTCCGTATTGAGAGGATTTTTCATTACCAGTTATATGCATCCCGAAGTCGTTTCGTGTGTTCCTGCTCCTGTGGCGATTCATCCTCTTTCTTCATTCGAAAGGTGTTTCTCCGAAACGAGCGAATGTAGTCGTCATGCAAACGATCGACCGTTGTCAAGTACGACGCCATATCCGAACTGGATGTGCTCACAGGTCCGATCGATGGGTTCCCTGCTCCTTCGAACCAGCAATATCGAACTTGTCCGCTGATTCCGTGCTGAAGAATTTTCATCCGGTCGGAGCTGGACGAGGGTTCAATGGATCATTGGAGTGCCTCTAGGAGCGGAAGCCTGCAACGAACCTGAAGATTCCACTGATGGCGAGCGACATCGTCTAGAAAATGGTGCCTGCCGAAATCGCCTGGGACGGAATCGTCGTCTTCAATCTGCCTGTGGAGTTTGACGGAGCCTGGCCGACCAAGAGTTTCGCCTGTTCCGTCAGCGGGTGTATTCGCTTCATGAGGCATGTTTCGCGAACACAAATCGCCATCATCGTTCACGTCACCCAAGCAGCATGGGAATCTCTGACGGGCTCGTTGACGTTCTGTGGCGACAGAATCGGTCGGTATCTGAGCCACTTATTGTGATGCAAATATGTCCCGAGTCATGTCTTACCGCAGCAGGAAGCGACTCCCCGAAACGTCGGCTCTGGACAATGTTCGTGCACTCGTTCACGTCGAGACGACGAATCAGTGTGTTTCTGGAGCGGATCTCGGACACCCTGATCGACCGTGACACTTGGAAATACTTGCGGGAATCTCACAGAACGTCTGTCCGCCTGATTGCTCGGTGGAGTTGCCATTCAGATACTTTGTTGTTGTGGGGCAGTAGATCGACTTCGGAACGGAGCACATTTCCTCGCCTCTGACAATGAGATAATCCGACTGCTTCCGGACATCTGCTCAGAAATTGGACCACGGGCTATGGGTAGTCCCCAGATCGTGAGCTACGTAATGTATCGCAAGCTATAGTCACGGCATCTTTGCTTTTTCTAGATCTAGCTATCCAACTACCGGCTACCGGCCTTGAGCTCGACTGGCACCCTCGGGGAAAATCTATGCTTACCTATATTAGCCGAAGATCATCAATCTTTCATGTATGAGGAGCACCCCGCAACCCAGAGAACGGTACATTCGAAGGATTGATCGCCGCGGAACGTCCACCCCTTACTTTCAAGGGACGCTCAAGCCATCGCTATCCATTGAATCAAGTGCTATCGCACCCTCAATCTTCCCGAAATTCAATCGATCGCTAGACTAGACTCTCGTAGTTTGATTCTGCTTAAAGCAACGAATGAAATCGGCTGCAGACTCCGGTTAATAGGGGAGAATGTGTTCGGTGGCCAAGGGAAAATTGGGAATAAAAGCCAGCCAGGAGGAGAACTCGCGATTCCCGTCGCTCTCACGCTCGGGCCCAGATTTCTGGGGACTCGGTTCGGACTCTCAAAGTACTCAGCTCCTGCTGAATAATATTCGCCGACCATATTGGAACTTCAGACTCGCTGACAGCCGATGTCGCCTCCACCAGTGTCACTCTTCCCGAACGGATGTTCGTATCGATTCTGTGAAAAATCCAAGTTCCAATTCCTGGATGATATACAGGCAGAGCTTTCCGATGAATCGGCGTCAAAAGCTCTCCAGAAAAGAAAAGTCGACGAAAACCCGCACTGGGGACGAATAACTCGTGCGCGAACGGCTGATTGCAAGTCAGGATTTCTCCCCGGCTTCTGTTGCAATGGATGCGCCGAACGCACATGGCGCATAGAAGCCTCGCTTGCCTCCGACAAACAAGTCATTTTCGGATGCTCGAAGCACTGCTGCGGGAATCAAATCATGGACTTATGGAATTGACTGGCTACCGGAATCGAGCCGATCGAGACAGGATATTCTATAGAAGTCAGCATCTCAAGGAAGTAATCGCGGCAGATGTCAGCCTCCCCGAGCTTCTATGCGCGGCGTATCTGGCGGCGAAATAATAATAATAATAATAGGAAAGTTGAACTGTAGCGCATTCGCTTATAGTCAAGAATTGAGTGACAAAACGGAGGTGTCGACGGAAAACATCATGTCGGGAGAGATGTGCGTTCCCGGAAAACGTATATGCGCCCTCGCAGAAGACAAGTTCATCTCAGGACCTGGGACCTACAGTCAGCAAGGATATATCTATGCGAGCTTGACCGGTGTTCTTCAAATTACGAAACAGGATGATGGAAAGGTACAAGTCAGCTAGTTCATTATTTGGTTCAGAGTGGTCATCGATGTTCGAAAGCTGAGAGCAAAAATCGGCAAGGAGGAACGCGTACTCGTGACTCATGGGAAAGTCTCCGAATTTTCACGTCTCTGTATGTGCCGAGAGCTCATCACCTCCCCAAGATACGAGCCCTTTCTTTCGACTTCGCAGAAATCCCTGGTGGAGATACGCCGTCCGATGGGTCGCCTGGCAGTACCCACACCCGGATCGGTGGTCACGTGTAAAGTCACATCGATAAACCAGCGCTACGCGAAAGTCTCCATACTGTGTATAGAAGAGACAGAGCTCAAGGAACCGTTCAGAGGTGTCATAAGGTGGGTTTCAATGATCGAGTCTCAAGATCGCCTGACCCCATGCTCGTTTTTCTCATGTCAGTTCTCAGTGTCGTTCGAACCTTCTCTCCACAGAAGAGAAGATGTGCGGGCCTTCGAGAAGGACAAGGTCGAAATGGTGAAAAGTTTCCACCCGGGAGACGTTGTCCTCGCGAAAACCCTGACAATGGGTGATGCGATGAGTTACATTCTCACGACTGCTGAAAACGAGCTCGGTGTTGTGATTGCTCTGTCATCCGCAGGTAAGGCTCACATTGCCTAGCGAGGACTGATGGTCTGGACTTCGGAGCCCCGCAGGAAACGCGAGCGGCTCCGCAGCCTATATTCATTGGTCTGCCGAGGGCACCGCGCCCGGAGCTTCCTTTCTACCTCAGCCATGGGCCCCAATTATTCTCAAACGTTCCCCCCTTCCAGGTGTTCCCATGGTGCCGATTAGCTGGACAGAGATGCAATGTCCCAAAACATTGGAGAAGGAATTCCGAAAGGTTGCCAAGGTCGTGCCTACAGTCAAGGAGCTCTGATATATTTCAGGAATAGGGTTATACTTCAGCACATGTATATATTCAGAGATGTAGATAGAGCGAGAAGAGCCCATACCGTGATTCCGGACATTTTTATTCGAAATTTGGTTCGATCGCCACCCAGGTAATTTTTTTCGTTGTCCCAGTCGAATTCATTCGACATCTTCCGTAGATCGATTCCATCATCAATCACAAAGCTCTGCTCACGATTCCGGATTGATTCCTTCTTGCTGTCGAATAAAGCTTGGAAGATTGGGCTCTTGGGAATATTATCGGTTTTTGATGGAACTTAGCCCTAATAACTTGGGAAATTCCGCCTCTCATCGCCCCCAATCGAAATGCTTTCGTCTGCAAGAGGCGAAAGAACCACACCGCCGTCGGTCTTCCAAAACAGGGCATGGAGCTCCTCCACTGATGGGTTTGAGAACGATCGTCCGATTCCTCCGAGATTCGCCGATTCCACACAGTTTATTGCACGGGGACCATTCCGCCCACTCGGACACGACGCACTCTGTCGGCGTGTCGTGATCATCTGGAGCTGGAAAGCGAGAGAGCCCCGTCATCGGGAGATGTCGAATGAGTTTCTCCGTTGGATGGCATTACCTGATTGGGAGCCAGGGACCCGAAGATCCTGGCATTACCACAGATGGAACACTAATTTTGAAATGAGGTGATCGAGGACGCACCTACGGCGTTCAACATCTGTTGTTCTTGCTTGCGAACTTTCCGCGACTTTCTCCTGGCTTTCAGAGAGCGCTTGTACTGAGGAACTTCGAGCTCATTTTTTCTATAGCTGCCCATCGGAGTCGCTTTATTTCGTCTATTCAACGAATCGTACAGCTCCAAAGCGTGGCCTCCAGGTTTCACTCGGCCATCCTCGCGGATCAGTCTGAAAGTATGACCCGGACGCTTCGCAATTAATTGTGAGTCTGGCTCATGCTGGGACCGCGGCCTAAATCTCAATGTCAGTGGCATGAATCGATTCAAAGCTCTTTCCATGAGAAAAGCTCAGGAGCGCGAACGGACAGAAAAGACCGTACTCAATGTTGACAACAGCGATTCGAGGGAGCCGCTTCATGTGCGGATAGCAGAAGGAACTTGCTGGATGGGATGGATTTTTGGAAGTTATCGGAGTCACAGGTCCCCTCGGCTCAGTCTCGAAGTCGGGGGAAGTGAACGTGAAGCTGGAAAAAATGAGAGTTACGAGTGGATTGACTGCAGCTCGGAACATCAGTCCTCGAGACTATGATGATGACGGCCCTTTTGACCAGTGTCCGGTCGCCAATACGAGCTCCGCCAAGAGCGAGACTGGGATCGCCGTTCGAGGAGAAAGGCGATATACACAGCGAGAAAAAAGAGAGGGAAGATCAGGAAAGGATTGGAACAATTCATACCCGTTGTCTGTTCCTGCGTCCCATGGATGAAGATCAACGGTGAAAGAGCTTTGCCAATGAGAAGCGTTCTGGCACAGATCCTGGGAATCGAGACCGATGAACCAGTCTGGGCTTGGTACCAATCGGACTGCGAATGACAACTGCAAACCGCTGGTTAGAAAAATTCAATCGAGAGACCTGTAGGGAACATTTTCGTACGAGTTCGCAGTCGTCGATCCCCGTGCCCCTACTCTTTGTGCGACTCCCGGTGATCTACCCATCATTCATGGGAATCGGAGTGTCTCACTTCTGCTGTGCTACGAAATCAACCGCCGTTGGAGCACTAGGAGTTCCGTCGATTTCTAACGCGACCTACCATGTGGTGTCGATGATCTCCGATGAACCGCAAGCTGGTCAGACCATTCCCGGTCGGTATGCTAGGCGCTTCGAAGAGGTCTCCCACCCCAGCGCCCTCCTCGCGCTCGAAACGGTCCAGCAAACCTTTTGTTATGGAGTCTCGCGCGTAGTCTCGAAAGCCGTCCGACACTCGTCGATTTTCCCTCCACAAAGTTACGTTCAATGAATGTGTCAGGCCCGCGGACGTAAAGACCCATCATTACTTCCTTCTCCATCAGTATAATTATTTCAGGGAGCGACGGCATAACCCACAGGAATGTCGATCGCCTGCCGTTGCCTGGAACTCACCGATCAGGGGAGCCCATTGGGCCGCTGGCCGGAACTCCGGATACTGTTTAGGGAATCTAGAACGCGTCCACTCGGTCACGAGGCTCAACTGAAACACTGCGACGGAATTCTCTTTGCATGCCAGGCAGGAGTTCAGAGCCAGGTTGGCGAAGTACAGGACAATGAGCATTCTGGCGCAAACCGGCGGACTCTATGCGCTTCTCCTGGAATGCCTTCCCTCTCTCGTCCCAACACTGCGGGAATCGACGGAGGATTTATCCGCGGGATCTCATCTTACCGGTCGGAGACCTGGGAGACGACAGCTCCTACCGAACGAAAGCACGAGAAGGGAGGACGGGAGTCTGAAATCTCGAAACACCGTGATCAGAGGGAAGAGGATGAGATTCAGTTCCTTCTGTCACCCAGGGAAGAGATGTTTCCCTTTCAGGAAGTCGCGCTTGTCTGGAATACGTGGGACTTCCAGCGGGTGGAGATCCATCTGATGGTGCTTCTCGGTAGCTGAGCTGTTGGTGTCGCAGTCGATCCTGTGCGGACAGCTTTCAATCGCCCTCCGGGATTCCCTCCTCCCTTCTCACCCAGGTCTCACAAGACGTTGTCTTTGACGTAAAGCATGAAGCCGGAGTATTCTTGGGAATCGGTCGGACTCGATCGGGATCATTGCTTCATTTGCGACACCGCGTCAAGAACAGACGCGAGCAAAGCGGAAAACGAGTGAATGAGTCATCTTATCATTTTTATACGAGAGGAAAAAGTATCGGGACTAGAAGAGTCCAACGACCTCCGGCGGCTCAGTCAGTTGACCCAGACGGTATGCTCCGAGGTCTTCCCTGTTTTTTCGCATGATCCTCTCAAAAAAGATCATCCAGTGCTTCTACAGGTCAAATGCGGTCGAAACGACGCGAGACAGGTTTCATGAGCCGTAGACTGGGTATTACTAGTAGGCTCACGCGAAGGTTGAAGCGATATCGTCAAACGAGAGGGAGAGAGTCTTGTCGTGTAGTCTTTCGGATCATGGCGAAGGGAAGATACCGAAGTTCAATTTACGTGTGCGAATCTCTTACTGAGCAAGAGTGGAGCCTATGTGTCCCCCCCCCTTGCCCCGCGGCCGGGACAAGACGGGAAAGTAATGATAAGAAAATCTGCATCTGCCATGCAGAGGTACCCCTCCCTCCTCTCGAATGATGTGTTTCGAAGTTGTCTCAGCTAGACATTCTTCCTCGGGTCCTGTGGAGGATGAAACGGACCCCGGCTCTCCGCGAGGATCTCTGTGAGAGAAAGACTCAGGAAGTCAACGGGAAATCCGGGAGATTTCCGCGGCGAGGTTCCTTCGGGCCGGGCGTCCATCACGATTCCAGTGAGCATGATTGTATCGAGGTCTCCTCGCGCGCGTTCAAGTATACAGTGGAATGTTGTACAACACCTGAACGACGAATTTCCAGTAGAACAAACGCTCCTCCCCCTCCACTTGGGAGGCTCGCCATAGAGAAAACGACAAAAACCTTCGTTACAGCGAACTTGCAGGACAACGAACATATTTTTCAGTCCCGCGAGGTTCGTTGTGAGAGATTTCACTGTTCACATATGGGGTGTACGTGGCGAGAGCACCTGTTCCGGAGATCAAAGAGACGGACGCGTATTCATGATGAGGAAACTCCTCCTTGCACAGGATATCCAGAACTCCTTTGGGAAGTTCGGACCTCCTCCATGTTCCGCCAATGGAGAAAATAGGGGGAACGCTCCGCTCAAAGACTCTTTTGGATCACCGAGGACGATCTCGAGTGAGTTCAAAAAGCATCGAACACTTTTTTTGTGTTGATCCATTGTCCGTTCCCGACCCCGAGGGTCACGCATCAGAGAATGCGTCGTCGAGAACTCCTTGGAGTTTACTCTCCCAAGGAAGGGTCGAAGCCCGTGATGTGGTTCAGACGCGGACTTTTCAGAATATTAACACGGGACCATGGATTATCTGATCCTCCGCGGGGATCACGTCTCGAGAGAAACGAGACGTTTCAATGCCTCTTGCCGCATTGCTGCTAATTTCGAGAGCGGCAAAGCCTGTGGTAGAGTATATCGATATCTGGCCTCTCATGAGTCGGACAACACGAGAGCTAGCAAGACGAGCTGGCATCTGTTCTGAAAAGAATCTGGAAGGAATCCGTATCTGGATTGAGACTCGGAGGCGGTCGCCCTCGCAGGTCCTGAGTTACTGAGTTCCGAGTACCTAGTTCCTCAGATCATTTCGAAAGAATCAGTGAGCGGAGCAAGCTTCCGATCTCGGCTGTCGGAGATATACTGGAATCTTTCCGCTACTCCCAAAGTGATTGCATCATGCATCGACGCAACCTTCGAGGGCCCGTGTCATCCCTCGGATTCTTACTCCCGTCTCCGCTCTCGGCGTGAGCTTCAAGGCGAAGCAGCGACACTCCCATTCTCGACATCTGCCTCTCGATCCACTGAATGGGGTTCGAGTGAGACGCTTCAGTCGCTGGATATGCGGAGATGAATGTAAAGCCAGAGAAAAAATATCGATCGGACTAGAGGGAGAAGAAAGGAGAGTGCGAGACAGGTGCGATAGTGGCGGAATAAGGTACGAAGTACGGAGTGGGCATGTCGTCCCGTGGTATTTGGTAGTCCGTCGAGAGACGGGGTCAGATTGCCGCGATGGCTTTTACCTGGGCTACTGAGCACCTCTTAGAATTTTCATCGGCTCGTGTGATCACCAAAAAAATGCAATCTTCATCCAGCTCGTCGCCAGGAGGTATGCCCTTGCAATGTTGCTGAAAAACGGGTGCAACGTCGATGCAGGCCCCGTACTGCGCAAGGAAAGGTTCTCCTTCGACTCTTTTCAGGCGGAACGACCGGAGAAGAGGAAGTCATCAATAATGGAACTCGTCGAAATATGCCCGCCGGCGATGAGTCATGCTGTTCCACAACATCGGCTCATTAGTCGATCGAGTCGCTCATTAGGACAGTGACGCTCTATGCAATCGAGTATCCTACTTAACTCTCGAGCGTGCATAAGCAAGACGAAACTATTTCGGAGGAATTCCGAAAGGAACGGAATCCCAGCTGTAAAACTCTGTGTGATGCAAGGGAGGTTTCAACCGTTCCTCCTGGTCTGAGGACACGAATGTTCATCCAGACCTCTTTTGAACTCGCATGGGTTCAATGGTACCCCGCCGCCAAAAACGCCGAAATGTAAGAGATTTGTTTAGGCTGGGATCAAGACGAGAATCCCTCATCGAAGGACCACGTTTAATTCCAATTCGATGCCTCACACGGAGGCCTCACGCTTCATATTGCTTTCCGCCATTAGCGTGCGATAGGTTCCATACGTTTCCTGGATCGTCGCACCAGATAAATTTGCATAAGTCTTTATATCATTGCTCTTTTTTTGCACCTATTACACTTTTTATGAGGATCCGCTGATTTCTACCTAACTCCGTCCGTCTGCATTCTTGACGTCGCCTCGAAAAATGGAAATTTCGCGGAGCAACGCCGCGCCGCAGTATTACTCCTTCAGCATCCCCTGGAGATGTCGAATGTAACCGATAGCGTACCGCAGGGTTTCCACCTTGCTCAACCTGCGGTCTTTGCCTTTTTGGAGCAAAGGCAGATGAGTCCTCAACCTCTCGAAGCCGTCATTGACGTTCCGGACTCTCTGACGCTCCCGTTCGTTCCGTTTGCGGATGAACGACGGCTCGATCCAACCGTAGTCGAAAGGCGCGAATGTCACTGGCAGCGGGATCTTGCACTCGGGGGCAAATGGATCTTTCGGCAGATCATCTGACGAGTCCAGACTGTCCTCTCCATCGGCGGAAGCTGCAACGATTACGAGTTCTCAGCTGGCTGACTATTTGTCGACCCGTCTGAAGCCGATCGATTGTTCTCTGACAGTGTATTGAATCGCGTCTGTTCCCAGGCACGACGTTGAGAACCAGCCCCGAGCTGTCGTAATCCGAATTATTCAATCGGAAATGTTACGCAAGCGATGCACGAGGCCCCAACTGAGTGAGAGGCGAAGCTGATCATTTCTGTCACAGGCATGTGACACGGGTGTAGAAATCTTGTGCGATTGGACTCGCCGTTGTTTCGCGATTTCGCGGCCGAATAGAGCCACGGAGCGGGTCCCGAACATCAAGAGGAGCGAGGGGACACAGATCAGAATTTTGCTACTCTTCGCTCATCTATGTAGAGTTACGCGGAGGGAATTATGCGCAACCCCACGGAGTCGTCTCGTCGCGGACCGTAAACGCGCATGTCGCGAGTCGCGAGATGCGTCATCATCTCAACTTCCCAATTACACTCGTCGCCCGACAGTGAACGGGACATTCACAAGACACACTCAAGTCGATTTATTTGTCCCTTGCCCAAGTCCCATTACGAAACGGCTGTCAGCTTGCCAAAATGCGATCATCGTTGTCGTTCCCTAACATTAGATGGCATCGATCAACGATCGGATGAACCCACACTCTGATATATGTGACCACTTTCGAGCCTGTGGACATTGAGCAAGAGAGGGCGGACACCAGAGAGGGGTCCATGGGCCCGGAAAGAAATACGCCACCGGGAGATTCGACATGGGGAAAGGCTTAGCAATCGAGATTTATATAGTGGGACGACCGAGAAAAAAAAATGGACTCAGTGTACGAACCTCCGCTGCATCTTTCGTTTCCATTGTGACCGTCCTGTTGACTTTCACCAGTGTTGGAGAAGTCTATCGATCGCACGGCAGCCGGTTCTCCGACGTCGTAGTCTTTCGAAGCTGGCGATCCGCAAGTCGGAGATTCCATCGAGTACAAGTAAGTCTTCCACTAATTTTTGCAACGATGTCCTCGGACGCGAGCAACTGAAATTCACAGGTTGAGCATCACGAAATGAGTACCATGCTGAGCAGCCACGGAGTGCCGACGATTGATTCGCAACGCGCTAACAATCGAATTCCGCTAGCGTTGAGGAATTATCCAGAGTTGGCTTCCCGTGGAAAAGACTTCAGCGAACGATGAGTGATGTCGCCAGAAGCCTCGACTGAAGCTGTACCGCTACAGTGAGTGTGATTTACGGCGTCCAGTGAGTTCCGTAGAGGAGAGGAGATCATTATTTGAGCACCTGTCTTTGCCATTGGGGACCGCTAGGTCGACGACAACACCGTTACACGGAGGGCCTCTCCTCATAGGGTGTCCACTGTACAAGGCTGCCGAACTATGCTTCACTTCCGCTGACCAATTCGAGAAATTTCGATTGGAGCCAAGAATTCCGCGCGAAACTACACATCTCAGGAGGGACAGAGACCGAGACTCACTCAGTGATTTTGGAGTGGAACTCGCGAAAAGTTCATCCGGACTCTGAAAGATCCAGATTCCCCCGGATCCGGCTTAAAATTGAGGTAATGTTGGAGCCCCGCTCCCTTCTCGTTGATTCGATGAATGTATCGATGTTCCACAGCATTTCTGTGAATCATCGGGAAGCACCATTTCACTCTTACGGCATTTGAATCATTAAAAAACGTAGCACACTCCACATCCATGACCTTGGTGGTTTGGACCCGTGGGGGCTCGGTGGCCTCCGACCGTCTTGACGCTTTACAAAATAGATCTTCGGCTGCATGTCGAGTATAGAGCCTTCTCGGTACCGGAAGAATCGAGCCGCTGATCGCTCTCGCTCTTCCCTTCGAGAACGCACCAGGATTTGAGCCAACACTCGGATATTCTCATGAGGGCATCTCAAGGTTATCGAGCGATCTCCAGCTTCAAAAAACATATCTCTCCACCCCTCGAGTTGTCCCATAGAGAATCCGACCACTGACTTCCGGCTCTATCCCTCGTTTTCGTAGAGCCCAGGGATTACGGGGACGTCATGACTCATCGATTCAGAAATGTTGAATCTGAGTCGCGCCATCCCCAACGTCATCGCATGAGACCTGGATTAAATCGATAGCGATGAATTTATTCAGACAGAATTCTTTTCGCTTGATCATATGGGTGTCTCCGGATGACTACGAAGCCAGTTGAGTCCCGCATGAAGAAGAAGAATCGAATAGAAATCATCCCAGCGGAAGAAATTCGTTCCTAGTCACGATAATAGCTATAACTCGGTGGGCTTCGGGATTGAACATTAAGACAACAACAACAGGAACCTGTGCTCAGACAATAAATTAGAATATTGGATGCATAGGTGCGTATACCGGTGGCTTCGCTGATGGCGATGATAATGATGGTGATGAAGGTGTCGTCGGGAGCCGAAGCGGCAGTATATCAGACCGATAGACACTGGCTGTCTGGCAGATCCGGGAGCGACGTTTCGCTTCAGAGATTCAACCGAGCCATTTTGCTTGGCGCTCCACTAGACACTCACGCACGAGGCTGATTCGGATGCGAGGCTCCGAATCAGCTCCAGACACAGAACACTGATCCTTTAAATTTTGTCTATCGATTCGGCTCAGCGAGAGATGCCTTTTTGAGCTTGCGGAAGGCGCTCCAGGGGGACGTCGACGTACGGAATGGAAAAAAGGTCCATCCGCCTCCGAAGTAATCGCTGCGGCTGTTGAGGTGCAAGTGATCGAGATATATCGGCGAGCTCCTCCGAACGAGAGCAAGTTCGCTGCTCACCAGCTCGCTCGGTTGGTACCCCCATCCGCTGGTTAATAATTTAATAGCACAAATGCACAGATATCGGACACTTCAATGTAGACAGGGAGAAGAGGTTGAAGATCGAAATGGCGGCTATTGTGTCAACGAATTCTTGACAAAGCTCGGCGAAAGCCCCGGTGGTCCTATCGATTGCACTCGTGCACCCGATCTTTCCCGACTCCTTCCCTCGAACGCTGTGGGAGCGAGCGCTAGGATCTAAGGGCTTTCGCATGCTGGTTCAATCCACAAATCGACGAATCTTCTTGGTGGGAAATTTCCGTATATTTCCTGTATCGTTCCAAGAGGGAGCCGCTAACTCACCAAACCCGCATCGGCAATCGTTGGTTCAGCCTGTCGACCCACTTAAAACATATTTTCTCGAATACTCTGACTGAGATGGGATGTCATATTCGTCTTGGAGCGCTCCTCGATCATCAGAAGTATCGGGGACGGATCGATAGAGGCGATATCCGCCCCTCCCCTTGGAAAGCCCCTCTTGAATAGTGTGATTCCGTGATTCATGATGATGCCTGACGAGCCTTTCGCGTAGAATGGCATATCACTTCATGTATTCCCTCGCCTTGTCAGCGATGTATACATATTGATGGTGTCGACGGGGATCGGGCTCTGATTTTCCCTTTGTCAGTGACGAACGCCGTCAACGGAGCGTAGCTTCCGGAACGTGGACGGAGTTCTGCCGCGTGAAGACTCGGCGATTCGATCCCGTGCCTGACGTTCAGTACAGCGCATAGAACCAAGCGTTGAGGTTTCTACTTTCTTCATTCGCCCGCGGCACGGAGGCGGAAGAAACACGACGAAAGCTTCCCAACATACATACACACAAACAATCATTCTTCTTATCGACCGAAATTCAGTAAATCATAAACAAACTACGGAGCTCCTCAGGATAGAGTACACACGATGAGCGAACTCCCCGCCGAAATTCCTCGCAGCCGATAGGCGAACTCACGGGGTTGCCGGGGTCGGTCGCTGCTTCTTGCGAGCAATGTTGAAATTCGCAGCAGCCTCGTCGACCTTTTGAGAGTTTCTACTCATGATATTTACAGCAGGAAAAATGTCTCCATTTAGATCTATCGTTCGAATTCTGCAATCGAGAGTCGATACCAGTCATTCGGTTCACAAAGCGCTAGAGCGAGAGCCGGAAGTCGTGGCGACGAACCTTGCAAGCGGTTCGAAGCCTCCTTCAGATAGATGTCCTTCGGTCGACGTATGTAATCGGTGTCGGCTGATTGCGGAGCGAGCTCTTCTTGATTTTCCAATCGCTCCAGGGAAGTCGCCATCCAATCAGACCAGTATGTATAGAGCTCGATTTGTTGACTACTGTCCTGGAAAATTACGGATGGATCCTCACCGTCTGATGATAAGGCTTCCGCGAATCCGCGTAAGTAGGCGGAGCTCTCATCCCCGCGGATAAACCCGATCAGACTCACTGAGACTTCCGGCAAAGAAAGGAGCTTTCGTTGCTTCTTCTTTGGCTCCTTTATATCTATTTTCCTCTCTTGAGGACTGAAACCTCCATTAGCTGACGGATCCATGAGGCTAGCAATGACGTGCTCTAGACAGCAGGGCGTCTGGGCGTCTTCCAAAGTGTCCCACGAGACGGACAAGAAGAAACAGTGGTTCACGATTTCTTCGAATCGGGCGCAGGTCAGGCGTTCTGAATCCAGAGACGACCATCAATCTCAGACGAGCAATGTGAAATTCACAAGGAACGATTCTCCGACCGCCAGCACGCACTTGCAACAGTTTTCCGTAGGAAACCCCTGAGCAGACTTGTGAAAGACTCCGAACTTCTCCGAGGCGGGACGAAAACGGCTTCACGTATCTTCTTCTTGACAAGCTCGACCTGGGCGCCCCGGAACGGTAACGCCCCACAAGCCAACTGATAGGCTGTCGCGCCCACCGACCACCTGCATCGTTTGAGCGAGATTCGAGCGATTTATCCGAGAGCAGATCCACGGACATCCGCCGAGGACACAGAACCGACAGACCTCAATTATTCACCTCGAATCCGAGGGAGATTTTAGTGCAGGTGGTCATCCTACACAATACCATGATCTCCATGGAAATCGATGCCGACATTTCCCGTGAGAGCGAAGTCACGAGTATTCTGATGTAATCATCCAACGCTTACCAATCCGAGGCTCGGCCATACCTGGCCTTGGCGATTACCTCTGGCGCCAGAAAGGCGGGGGTTCCAGCGCTCTCGCTGTCGTGAAACTCCATGAATGTTTTGCGTCTGTAGCTTGCGGTCATACCATCGCCGTACGCGCCGACGCACACTTTGCATGTATCGTAATCCAAGAGTTTGATCCGACCGCTCGGCAGGACCATGATGTTTGAGGGCTGTATCGAATACGAAGTCGAGAGATGCGTCGAGAATTCATGTGACTAATGCATACGCATCGACTGGGAAACTCGAGCCCATCGAAGAGCGGGACGGGAAAAGCTTCTCAGAACCCACCTTTATGTCTCGATGGATAACTCCTTGGATGTGGAGATAAAATGTGGCTAGGCAGACTTGGGCGAGTAGTATGCTCAAAACTTCCTCTTCGAACGACCCGAAATTTTTGACCACTCGGCTGAGGTCGACCCCTCGGATGTACTCCATTAGCGTCACGAAAGCCTTGTCCGCACAGAAACATGAATGATATCTGAAAAGAATTCCTCCGCTGAAGTTCTCCAGAATAGCCGATGATCTGAATATGATCAGGTCCACCGTGGACCCTGAAACAATCCGGATATTCGTCCGCGCTTACGTCACCATGAAAGGACTCTGGGCCATAGACACCACTAACTTGTCGGAAGAGGCCGACCTGGCATTCGAAAACTTCTCTATCGAAACAAGCTTCGCCGTCAATTCAACCCCTCCGACGGTGACTTTGTAAACACATCCGAAGCCTCCCGCACCTAATGGAATACCTGTCAATTAGCATGGTCAATGTAGCAAGACGTCAATGGTCACATTGAGGATCTATATTTCATGAGTCAAACGAGGGATTATTCATTCGAACGGCTGGAGTGATCGATATTTCGAAATGGATCAACTTTCACAGCTGGCAGTCGACAGCGCGAACGACTGAATCTTTATGGATTTCCCCACTGCCTGAACTGACTGGCTTTTATTGACCTCAGAGCTCCCATGGAAAGGCGGGGGATTAACTCAAGCCAACCTCACCTAGTGTTTTTGCGGCTTTGATGTCCTTGATTTTTGGCACGACAGCCTTGACCACGGTTTTTTTTTCCCGGTGACTCGAAGTGCGCTCTGCACGCTGGCCCAGTCAATGGCGTCCGAGGAAGTTTCCATAATTTTCGCGAGCTCGGTCATCGATACGACCAGGAGTCGCGTCGAACTCATCAACCCACTGCAGCTTCGCTCATCTCGCTTCAGCAGATCGAGGAGGAAGAATAGGTTGCCGATGTCGTGGTGTATGTCTTCGAGTGTGATGTATCTGGAAAGTCAAGGAGCTCAAGATTGTGATTCTGGTCCGTGGAGGCTCTCTCGTGAAAGATGCCTTCTGCCAACCGTTTCAAAATCTTGCGAAGCAGTCCGGACGCGGTCAACGAGACTTGCAGTCGGACGAAAAACTCTCTTGGGTACGTTGTGTACGAAACCGAAGCAGCCTTTTTCGCCAGCTCCCTGAGTGCGGTTTTCGCCACGATAATAACCCTGCAATCCACATGGAGAGCGAGTTCGCATTGGTGCCTTCAATGACGACAGGGAAAGCAAGAAAAGGAAACGAGCTCTCGCCGCCAACGCCGCACCGAGATTGTGACAAGCGGGCTAATTGACACGACATAGAAATAGAGCTCGCTCCCTCTCGCGTTGATTGATGTAAGGGCCTAGGTCAGACGTGAGGTGGACGGTGTTGCCGTCATTACGCGCACCAATGTCTCTCTCGTCGATCCATTTCTCTCCTACCTGGGATAAATGGATTCGAACATACGAAACTCCCCCTTCAGATCTGCTTTCCGCACGCCACATTCTATTTCGTTGCTTATGAGATGAGTCTGTGCACGAGGCTGTGTAGGATCTGGAAATCATGGGACTGTGGAATCGAGTGATTTTCACAGCCTCGAGTCGATCTATGTGCTTCCGGGACTTTGCGTAGAAACTTCAGACGAAGTTGCAAATGTTCGATCTTTCGAAGGCTCCGCTCGACTCAAAGTTGACCTACCGACATTGACGGGGTGGGCGACGTTGCTCAGATCCGCAGTGGGACTGAGTCGCGGGCCTGATTTCCTTGAGGACTTCCCGCCCATTTCATTCTTCGTTGTTATAGCGACCGAGTTCTGACATCAATCGATGCATACCGCGCCTTTCTCGCTCATACACTAGTTCGAATGTTCAATGTAAGCTCCGAATGACGGATATTGCGCATGATGTGAAGGGGATAATCTCCCCATCTCGCGTCGGACCTTCGTCTCAGAAGTTCCCAAGAATTCATACGAGAGACGCCGGATATTTCTCGAGCAGCGGGATCTGAAGGCTCATTCGGTCACTCTGTTGCACACATTCTCTGTTCGAATGGTCGAGCAAGCGTGCAGTGGCGAATGTTCTCGTGGAGCTAATCCTACGCTAGGGGAATCTGTGGCAGCAGAGCGGAAACCTGCAGCCGCGGCGCCGCTCGCAGGAACTCTCGCCGTGTCTATCATCGTCTCGCGCATAGAGGTGCGCTCACCTAGGAATGCCCCCAATGGTTCGAGCTCCGGCATACAAGCTCATAGATCATGCAACGGAGGGCCGCATTTTCCCTTTTCCCTCTCCCGCTCCGTGTGCTCGGAGCCCTTTCTCTCGTACGATTCCTTTCCCGGAGTCTCCTTACCCAGCCGCTGGACCGCTCAGTCGTTAGCGGCACGATCCCCGCAGTCAGAATTTAGTGTCTGGACAGCCCAAAAGTGCTGTGGCTGTGAGTGTTGTGTGTCTTGTGAAGAAGCCAGTTTAATTGTCGTATCGAGCTACCTTGGCTCGGATCAGTGCAGTAGTTCGGTTGGAGTCGACTCTTAGGATGACAGAGCGACGTTCAGCAAAACTCGCCTCGGTCCGTAGGGGACCCTCTGTCCGGAGTGCAGTGTGAGGAGTGCTATCTGCGAAAGGCGGGAGAGATCAGATCTCTTGTGGTGTGAGAGTCCGCGACGTGCTCCTTGGATCGTGATTTTGTTTCTGTGAGGCGCCGGGTTAAATAACCCGGGAGCCGCCTTTAAACGCCGCCAAGCTGGAACTCATGGAACTGGAGAACATTGTCGCCAATACGGTGTACCTCAAAGCTCGAGAAGGTAATACGACGGAGTTCCAGCCCATACCCTCACCTCTCTCGCGGCGGGATTCGCTGATGTGTTTCGGTAGAGCATGCGGACTAGCGCCCTCATCGACGGGGGGACAGGGTCTCGAAACTCCGTCGCAACTACGGTTCGCACCTGACGCTGGGAAGGCTCGAGGGGTTCGATCGGCGACGGCGGCGCGGCGGTGGAGGAGTTTTTCTCGCGAGCAGCGAGGACGAGCGAGCGCCCCTCGCGTGGGAACGCTGTGTTCCGGTCTCGCCTCAGAAGTGTTAATATGTACCTCAATTAGTCTCATGCTGGGCTATCTGTGTACCTTGTTCGCGTTCGATCGCACTCCTTGTATCCGTGCGTTCGCTCATCATCGATGGCCACCACTCATTTTGTTCGCGATCTGAGTGCGAGACACTTGGATTTATCGCGAGCGAAAAGTTGAACGGACATCGAAAACTACGCGGTGGCACCTATCGATAAGCCTGCCGAATCGGATTTCGGAGAAGTGCGCGCTCGCGATTCTGTGTCGGTTCTTTTTTTTCTTGCTTCTCCTAACGTCGTCGACGCCGCCGCCGCCGCCAACACCATCACCCAAACCGATTGAGAATATTGGCAAATTTCGCCTTTCCTCAAATTGTAAAAAAAAAGTATTGGAAACGCTTTGTTTGGGCCCCAGAGCGCTGGAAGAGCGAAAGATCCTCCCGGGCAGGGAAATGCAGAGTTCGAGGATGATTGAAAGAGGAACGAATCGACTTCCTCTGGAGGCAACGAATTTCTGGAAATGTTTCGGTTCTTGGCGAACGATGCGCACTTCGGCCTTCCGCTCGCTCTATCACTCAGTCGTCAGTTCGCTCGGTCGCTCGCTCAGGCGCTCACCAATCCATTCACGAAAACACCGGTCTTGTGTGTCGCCGCCTGACTTGCTGACGGCGATAATTGTCGCATCAAATTGCATTATATGTATGAATCATAATCGTTTCTCTCGCCTCTAAAGTACTGTTTTCTGTTGTGGTAGCACTGCCTGGGCTTGAAATAGAAACAGACAGAGACGACGACGACGATAAACGAGGGAGAAACAGTACTCGACGCCGGCTTCGATTTGGAAATTCGCTCGACGGAGACGGAATAGATTTCCCTCGATTCGTTGTCGCGAAAACGTGAACCAATTCAAGATGGATTTCTCCCTCCCTCTTCTATGCGGAACCTCCCGCTCCCTGTCGTGCCATTGTCGCCACTTATTTCCTTCTATGGAACGTCCCGAATTTCCTCAGCGAGGACTTCCCTGCTCCTTGAAATGATGTTGATTTTGGGGAAGAACGCTCTCTATTCAAGCTCGTGTAGGCGCTTAGAGAAGAAAGCTCCTTTACAGAACGTGGTTTTGATTCTCCTGAGATAATTCGGCTCCAAAAAAGCCAGAATCATGGCTGACTCCCCGCTCTTGTACAACATCTCGGACGAGAAGGGACAGCTGCGGCAAAATGAACATAAGCAGCGATTACAAAGACTCAATTTAAAGCGACTGAAACACGTGACCGAGCAGAAAACAGACATCCCATTCACATTATCGAACACGGCTACCGACAGGAGACTCCGAGAGAAGAGGTACTAGTACGGGCTCGCATCGAAATGATTCTTCATCGCTCCCCCGGTCGAGGAGAGCTCGGGGAGACTGAAGAATTGAAGATGAAGAATTCCTATCGGAATCCAGCTCTAAATTAATTCACGGCATGGCAGCCACGCGAAGGCGGCGTTCCCGACGAGGGTCACGGCGAATCCTTCGGTTTCTCATCATCATTCATTCGCATTTCAGTTAGGATTCAACGGTTCACCTTCGGATGTTTTTCAGAAAAGCTAACCAACCATAAAATCTTTCAGACTGCAACAAAGGCAAAAGCAAAAAATGGAAAAAAATTCTCGCCTTCCCCCACGTGACGTTAGCCTTGCCTTTAAAGGATCAGATCGGTGAGTGTTTTCCGAATCCACGCAGGTACCTAACAGCTAGGTCTAGCCGAGACGTGCTCAACGCGCTCGATTCTTATGTCAACCACTTAAACTAAACAAACGTGAAGAGCCTAGGGCTGAGGTCCGCTGTCTTAGCATCGTTGCTGTGATACCAGGAGGCAATCAAACTTTCGTTGCGTCGTATAATTTCCGCTGATTTCTCAGGGAAAGCTCGCTGTCGTGGCCGGAGGGGCTGGCGATGATACCGCCGGTAGAAACGGCGTTTCGTTTCACGCGATGAAGGAAAGAGCAATTAATCAAATCGACCCCACAGAAAATAGAGAAGGAGTAACGATAGAATGATAGCCGACAACCCAGTCGGAAACTTTCAAAGAGTAGAATTAGTCTGATGTCTTCTCTTGGCGCCCGATAGGGCCCGCGGCCGCTCGTCTGCTCATCCCTTCTTTTTTGTGTTTACTTTATATGAAACAACTAGATGAACGATGATGTTAGGAGCAGGATTGAGGCAACGGCTGAACGCGAAGCGGGAAGACTTGGGCAGGCTGAGAGTCGTAGCGCTGATCATCTCGAGGTTACCGCGGCTGGCTCTACTGTGGGCAAGTCCGACAACGAGCAGGCGAGATTCGGTCAGGCGAACAGACCGCAGGCGGACTCTATTCGCGGTGTTGTCTGTTTCGATAGATATCGAAGATGGTGTCTTGTTTATCGGGAATCCCGGCTCCCGTCCATATCGCATCCGGGGCTCTCTGTAGAAACATCAGACATCTGTGAAAAGGCCGGCCGGGCGGCTGGACGATCGTCCGGAGCACTCAGTCTTCCAAACATTGGAGATCGCTCTCCGAAATAATGGTCAAGAGTGAAAGCGTTCGTCAACACGAAGCTCGTCGGCGACGACGATAAACACCGACAGGGTGTTTGAAATCGCGAAGTGGATGCCGGCAGGGCTGAGCGAGGACGACGTGTTTTTGAGGTTTTATATGTAGTTCGAATCTTCGACAACATTTCAAACGGTCCGACATTTTCGTCCGGCTCATGCTTCACCTAGCAATCCGCGAATAAACCCACGGAGATCCCGGATCGGAGAGACCTTGGAGACATGGGTCTATCGTTGTCGGCTGAACGTATATCGCGTCTCCGACATTATTCTCGTCGCTGTGTCAGCTGACCGACTGAATGTTCTCGATTGTGGTCTCGTCGTCTGACCGACTGACTGACTGACTGACTGACTGACTGGCTATGAGTGAGCAAGCTCGCGAATCAGTAACCAGCACGAAAGAGCAGACGGCCGTTCATGGAGGGCAAATGTTTCATATGTGCCGAGATCGGTTATTAGATCACAGCGGACAAAACCTACCGACCGAGAACCGACCACAGGATGAGAGAACATGGACAAACCGACAGACTTGATCAGACACACTGGTAGACAGACTCCAAGTCCGACGTCGAGATGCTCCGTTCGCTGTTGGATCATATATCAGACCATGATGTCAAGGGGCGTGTGCGGACGAGCCTGTTCCGTTCATTTTGTGAATCCGAGGCGAGTCGATGTGCTACTCGGCGATGTCCAATTATCGTATTTTGATTCCTTTCGAGGCGGACTCTCGCTTCCACAAAAATCATAAAAAACGAACACCTGTGCCTCGGAGCCGTACTTGAGGGGACTGTACGCGATGTCAGCACCGCGCCACCTGAAAAAAGTTAGCCCTACGCCTTGCCCGCCCGTGCCAGCCATCGAGGTCGGCAATGCTCGCGGAGTAAGGCCGGAATCCACTACGCCACTCTATCGGAGTCGATGCCATTGTTCCTCCTGACAATGGATTCAACCCGTGCCGGAATCCGCGCTAAGACACGGATGCATCGCGATAGAAAACGAAAGCCCCACGGTCGAATTACAGTCGATTTCGTTTCCTCCTCAGAACCGGATACAGATTATCTCTGTAATTCCCCAATGATGGGGATTTCTCTTCTCGTATTTTTTTCCCGACGCATCGTAGGCTGCTTTGCTCTCTTCTCACTCAGATCATCGTCGTAGGAAGCGCTCACGCCGATGCGGCTCATTCATCTGGCGCTGGGCTTTGCGTCAGCATGCGAACATGCCACAAATAAGTCCGCTCGCCCAATATCTTCGGATATTGGACAGAGTTCGACAAAGGGTTAGGACGCGATGCCCGCTTTATGAATGTTTGGTGTCACTGACCGTGCCTTCAACATGGTAGAGTTAATAGTTCGTACTTTCGTCTGTCTCAGACGCAGCCGGCGATATCGAAGCTCGGGGCCCATCAATCCACTTCAGCTAATCCCTCGGATATGAAGCCGGACAGAGCCGACCGGAGTGCGAACCGCAGAGATCGCAGTAATGATGTCACGCATCTGTGCAGAAGGTGTTGCGACATCGTTTACGCGACCACCAAATGGAAAACTCCGTTCTATGACTCCGGTCGATTTGCTTCCCCACGTCGGACTTAATCGATCAGGCGGTGCTTTGTCGGCTTCGATCATTCACACGGTATTCGTATGACTCCTGCAGGATCTGACCGATCCCGGTGCGGTATACGTTCGCGTAGGAGGAAAACATTGCGCGAATACTCCGCACTCGGAGTCGTGGGGAAACAGAGTGAAGCAGGCCGAGCAGCGACAGTAATTACTACTATATGAATAAGTCATCGTGAGCAATGAAAACAACGAGAGCAGCGACGACTCAGAAGAAGATGCCGGTTGAGGAAAGTCGGAGCAACCTAGAATGCGGTCGTCTATGAGCCGAAGCAGAAAATGGTAACTTTGTTGCAATGCACCGAATATGATTCGAGATGAGCGAAGAGAAGCTTGACAAGACGCTGAGAATTGTCGTTGGCTTCCGGCCACGAGTGGGCGTGGCTCGCCGTGTCACTCGCTTCAATCAGAACGGATATTTTGTGATCTCGGAACGTTTCCCGAACGCGTTCTCCATGTATGCGATGGCGTTTGATTCCTCTCTCCTTCGGAAATCGTCCCGGGGAAACCTCGGAGTCCCGAAAAGTCCCGCCGCGTCCCTGCGAAGACTCTTGGGAAGTCGAGTTTTCTCGGTTTTCCGGACTTTCCATTTCTGCGCACTGCCATTCTCTCTCCATCGACAAAGCCGGCTTCCCCGAATCTAAGATTCTCGTGATTTGTATTCCCTCTTTTTGCGTAGGAGGAGGGCGCAATCGGAGAAACAACAGAGAGAACGGACGTGTGAACGTGGATAGGCCATCCCGGGATAGGAGCATGTCTGCTTCGGCTGACGATCAGTCAGCCAGGCAAGCAGCCAGTCAGTCACTGGGTCTGCATTGGATCCTATTTGGTCCGACGAAGCATGGGCGGCGCACTTTCGATGTGAACTCATCACCGCTCTTGTCTCGAATGAATTCACCGGCGCCGGCTATGACCGTCCGTTTCATTGTCGCCTCCCCGATGTATATTAACGTTTGCGTGGCGGCCGCGGGATGACTATGAGGGCTCGACCGTTTGATGGTCAACATAATCACGAGATACAACCACGAAGGAAAGATTGAAAGAGATCAGAGGCGCATCGCAAATTATAGCGACCAGTGAATCATGCGGCTGCTGGGATAATATGCGGCGCGTCGGATTAGCGGCGTGGATTTGATTTTCGGTGCCAGTCTTATTTTTTCAGCATTTCACTTCGCCTCGGGAAATTCTCCTGAGCGGGATATTCGAATGCGAGCTGGTGGGGCATCGGATTGAGTTCTCCGGACGTGATCCGGAGAGCTCGCGACGAGCTCCGCGATTTCGAAATCGATGCATTCCGTCTCTGGATCGAGCGGTCTGTGTTTCCCTCGACGTTGCAGGAGTCGCACGAGGCTTGTTCCTAACGTGGTTTGCCTCCTCGGGAGCCGAAATTGCTTCGGTCGTCATTCGCTAGCACACAGAATTATAGCTTCCCCTGGATTATAGGCATTTGACCAGTGCTGTTCCGGCTCATTTCTCCTTGCTCCATCGAACGTCCTGTGTGTTTTTTACGTGATCGAGTATGGCTACACAGTTTGCGTCGTCACGCTGGATCATGTTCCCCACTGGTCTGATCATGGAGAGTCGGGGGATCGGGGAAAGGATCTTGTAAATCATCGGGCAAGCAAGTCGCGCACCCGTGGGCGCATTCGCGCAGTCGCCCATATACGTAGCATGTAGGGAGAGACTTTGAGCTGTGTTCCGAAGGGACGGGTTCTGTCTCCCTCGGAGAGATTGACAAGTGAATCGGATTCGATCACGCGGAGAACGGAACGAGTAGTGAGTCGACCGTCCTTCAGGCTGCGGCCGCCTCCGACAGACCAGAGCTCCGCGCTGAAGCTTCTTCTAGGGATTTCCACGAGCGGGAGTTTACCAGCGAAGAGCTACGAACAAGCTCCGGGAAACCTCTTTGAGCGAAACTTCGGCTCCTATGAAGGTCGAAGCGATATTTTTCCGTAGTCCTGGGAAAATGAAAGTCCTTTCTGTCCGTGCCGAGCGTTCACCGCAAGTTCCTGTAGTGAGACATTCATTTCGTCCGGGAAGGCTTGTGCTCCGCCGTACGCTGAGCCTTAAATGCGATGACAGCGGCCGAGGCGATCGATCTCATTCCCTGCTCGTTTGTTCTTCGCTCAATACCTAAGCGCCGTCGTCGGATCGCTATGCAGTTTGGCGTGCATTCGCTTATGGTATCGAACAGAGGGAGAGACCACCGAGATCGCAAGTCGCCATTCTCCGGGAATTGATTACCGCAGTTTGTCCGACGAGACTTTGTACCTCATCCGCGGAATACCCGAGACAGTTGTGACCTGCCCGACTCTTTACCGTAAGTCATGTCGGTCGGTACGGAGGATTCGGACGTCTCTGCGTGTTTCCCCGACCTACCGCCGAGTAGAAGAGCCGGAATGAATGTGCCGACCGGGGAATACGGTCCCAAGATGGCGGCCTGATTCGCAGAACCCCTGGCGTGGATCTCTACTGGAATAGAGCGAGAGAAACTGCCTCGAGTCTACATC